TGCTTTATATGATGTAAAGGCTTGGGGAATTTTCATACTTTCCATTAATCGGTTATGTCAAAGACAAAGCTAGCAGCCATTGCCCACTTTAAGAATAATAAGACGGCTAAAGTCGTTGGGCCTTGTTAGTACCCCTGAGGGCGGCCGAGGTAATGCAAACCTGTCGTAAAAGCTAACTAAAATCTAACCACAGGCCAACATTTCCGAACTGTATGGAGGTTAAACGGCAGTAGATTCCGCTCCGAGGTCTGACAAGTAACTTGAACAGGAGCCTGTTCTTGAGGTCAGCTCTTCGTGAAGTATCGTGGCCAGACCCACAGAAAGGCAAAGGCTACATCCGTTGAGTCGGTGCTGGAAGTTTTCTAGAGACCTTATGGACCTTAGTGAATTGGCAACAGCAAACACTGCAGTTGGGACGATGGGCTGTGCCCGAAGGGATGACATTACTCCAGCTTTGAAAATAGCCGATACAGGACCAACCGGCAGAGGCAGAAGACTCAAAAGACTGGTGTCTCAAATCGTAATAGATCAAAAGTGGGGCTCTGGCATGCTTCAAAGGATTCACGACCTCCTGAAAGCCTTAACATTGAGGATGAAAATCGAAAAAATTAAAATATTGCCTCCGTCTCCCATTTTAAAGTGCGATTGCTTTAACATTCCGTGAAAATTTACGCGATTAATTTTATCGGAATGACTAGAAAACATATGTATGCCATTTGCTTGTGTGCCACTGAGCGCTGCCGTGCAATGCGAATGTTTGAAATAAAAGCAGCAAATGTTAATTTTGCTATTCACCATTAAAATTGCAAGTATTTACAAACACGCAAATATATATACTCGTAAGTGCATATGCACACATACGAACATCTTTGCATACATACACAAATATTTTCACTTTCATTTTCGAGTTCAGCAGACTCAAGATTAGGTAATTCAATGCATCGCAAATGAAAAGCACACGGAAAGCCAAACAAACTGGCAAATACGCGAAGAAAATGAAAACAAGAAAATGAAAGGAAAGAAAAGCTTTTAACGCAAGCTAAGCAACAAGTGAACGCAAAAAGAGGGGAAGAACCAAACGAGTTGGAGAAGCCCAAAAAGTAAAAAACCAAAAGCAATTGCATAAAATGTCTTCCGTTTCGAGGGAGTGTGAAGTTCAAATTCGTGCCGCCAACCAACAAATGAATGAATGGTAAACAAAACTCGGTGGATAAAAATGTCAAATAGGAAAAAATGTGCAAAGCAACTTACTCTTGTGTCCTGTTCTGCAACACAAAAACAACAGCAAGAAATAAAATATACGAAGATACAAAAAAAAAATAAAAAATAAAAAATAAAAAATATTTTACGCAAATTCATTTACCGCAAACCCGGCTCCGAGAAAGAGCTAAGCAACAAACTTGCCAATTTAAGCTTGAACCGCTTGTAACGCTATGCTCCTTTGCTCTTCCGCGCAATTTTTTTCATTCCAAATGAATTATTGATGCTGTGCAAAAGTGGCAGCACCAAACAGCAGAGATGAAAGAGGAAAACGTGCGCTAACACTTTTGACGCTTTAACACCTTATAACTGCTGCCTGATTTATTGCATAATATTTATTTTCAGCAAAATTTGTATTTTGGCAAAGGCTACGAATTTTCGATTTTCCACTTACTCTTACTCAGTAAAAGCAAAAATGATTTTACGAGATTCTTTTATTTAATCAACAACTATTTGTCGCTTTACTAACGATTCGAAGCCTTGATCTATAAATTTTTAATTGAAATACTTTATTTTCTTAATTATTATAGCAATTTATAAGAAAAAGTAGTTACCTTGGAAGACATGCCATTAAAATCGGCTAAACCACACCTAATACACGGAGTGGCTCAGCGGTGTGCTCAGCGGCTTAACATAATCATTGTCGGAAAATTTGTTTCATTTGTTGAACTTATTTCCGTTATGCTGGATCGCGGAAGATATAACGCCTCGCAAAGCGTTTCGTTCTTTTCACAAAGCCTTACTCACAGCTGATTCAACCTAACCTAGTTTTCTCAGTATTTAATAAAAAAAACTCTTCCAATATCAATTTGCAGTTTGTGTAATAACAACTGATTTTGGAAAATGAAATTCGTCAAGTTATCTACGACCTCTATTGAGCTCACTATTCCATCGATAAAGTGGTTCCTGTTAGAGAATCATCGCAAAAGATTGCACTAAGCCCAGCGGTGCTGAGTTTATCCACCACAAAACTTGTAAAAAGTAAACGAGTCACTTCCCAAATCCCTGAATATAAAATGCAATGTTCATGGAGCCCAATACGGCAACTTCAGTAATGACCACAGTTTCTGCTTCGTACAGAGAGTCAACTTCCTTTTCCTTGACTTCCAAAAACATTTGTTTATTTTACGAAATTTTCAGAGGCAGGAATCAAAATTTCCCGCTTATTTCTTCTTTCTGCTGTCTTTCGTCTCGAGTTTAGAACACTTACTACTATTTTGAACCAATTCCAGACTTTCACCGAAAAATCCAATAAAATACACATAACCACTACTGAACGTAGAAGTGACTCTCAGCTTTAATGTTTGTTGGCTCTCAAGAAAGTCTAATACTCAGAGACATCAAAGCAAAAAATATTTTATTACATCGATGGGTTAATAGATACTGATTGAGTTGAGCCTTGTAACTACGCAACGCCATCTCGCAACTTATACACTGGAGCCGCCACAGAGTAAGCACTGTCCGCTCCTCTTCATGGTTCATATCGCTCCAGTTGCACTCAAAAATGGCTATAATTTAAAAGTTAAATGCATCGTTGGCTCAACAAATGAGTTTTCATTTTGTAATAGCAACACTACAACACTAAAAACAAACATTTACTTATTTATGTGGCCAACAAGCTAAGCTCAAGTTTTTCATCGGCAATTACGAAATTAGTGTAGCCTGATGGTCACTGCCAAATTGATGGTGATTTCTTATTTATCTAAATTATTGTTGTTGCTTAATGACATTGAAGCCACCACTTGTAGCCACCGCTCAACGTAACCATTGACCAAATAGTCGTCCATGGCGGCTGTCAGTTGCAGATAATCGACAGTAATCATCGACGTTTATCTGCGAAATAACATCGAATTGGGGGAGCCACACAAAATAAACAGAAAAAGCAGAAATCTTATTTATTTATTTACTTATTATTATTATTTATTATTTATTTTCTCCTTGTTTTTTGTGAAATAACATAAGTCATTTTAGCGGCTTCTACTTTCAAAGCCTTAAACGAAGATCAGTGTTGTGAATCGGCCTCTGAAAGGTATCAAGCACATCATTTTTAAAAAGGTTAATAAAAATAAAATAACTCGATACTGCAAGTCTAGGATCTCTATTTGTTCCCTTTTTCGAAAAAATTACAATTTTATCAACATCAAGAAGCAATTTCTTTCTCAGAACCTTGCTCCAGCCAGTAGTTGTAGCTTCCAAGGAAAAACTAAGAACTACATCGGCACCAGAGACTCTTCACAAAGGGCGTGATTACTTTCAAAATTTCGGTAACGGTGATTTTTTTATGTTTTTGGTTTTATTGTTTTAATTATAAAGTTTTCTATGTTTTTTGCATATTCTTGAGTGAAACTTTCAAGTCTGCAACTTTGCTTCCGCCGTTTTCCGATAGGTGGCTGTACTGGCTGAGGCTGGTTGAAATACACAGATGATAATGCCTTTAAAGTGAGTGTGGACAGTGCCTAACGAATTGTCATCGCCGTTTCAGTGACAGTTGTTCTTGTTTTCGTATTATTCACGCTCGATAATGTCCGTTTATGTGCCTAATTCTCGCCATTTGCGGGAAGTTTTACGTTTCTGTTACAATTCGAAAAAAAATGCAGCTGAAGCGCCTCGAATGCTCTCAGAAACTAACGGTGATGCTGCTCTGAGTTAAAGAACGTGTCGGGAGTGGTTTCAACGTTTTAAAAATGGTGATTTCGATGTCGAAGACAAACAAGGTTATGATTTGTATTTGGTGGGATCAGCTCGGTGTGATTTACTACGAGCTCTTAAAACCGGGTGAAACTATCACAGGAGATCGCTACCGAACGCAACTGATGCGCCTTAGTCGCGCGCTAAAAGAAAAGCGGCCAAAATATCAAGAGCGACATGAAAAAGTCATCCTCCAACACGACAATGCTCGGCCTCACGTCGCAAAAGTGGTGAAAAAGTACCTGGAAACGCTGAAATGGGAAGTCTTGCCCCACCCGCCGTATTCTCCAGATGTCGCCCCTTCTGACTTCCACCTATTCCGTTCGATGGCACACGGCCTGGCAGATCAACATTTTCAAACCTTCGAAGAATTAGAAAAATGGGTTGCTTCATGGATAGCGTCAAAAGAGGTCTCTTTTTTCGAGCCAGGATCCGAAAATTGCCGGGAAGATGGGAGAAAGTTGTCGCTGGCGAAGCACAATTCTTTGAATAATATATCTGTAAGCACTTTTTCGCAATAAAGCTTTTAATTTTGGAAAAAACGGCGGAAGCAAAGTTGTACTCCTGATATGAAAATAGAAAGAATTTTTTGTATAAAAAATCGGTTTTGAGTTTGTTTTTGGAAATTTGATAAACACAAAATCGATTGAGAATTGTATCAGTGTCTAATGTTCATGAAAATTTGAATGGAGCCCTAAGTTTTTCTCGTAGTAGTTGCTAGTTTTATCTAGAACACATCCAGGCAACGTTTTCCATTATGAAACTGTTTTTAGTTGTTGAAAAAATCGTGATTCTTAATTCTTACATTTTGCTTAAAGACACATAATCTGAAATCTCCTTATAATTCGAATTAAATAGACGCATTTCCGTTAGAGCTTATATTATTGTTATAAAATAATGTCCTCACATTTAACCCACTGTTGATCAAAGCGGTGCATTTGACCCCACTGACACATGCACATATATCTGCGAAACAAATATTACTCAAATTTTCACCGATTCCTTAATGTGTTTGCTAATAAAAGTTTATTTCCAATTATTCATCATTACAGATTGCACACACACACAATGAGGCAGAGGCCCGTTAACAACGACAGTAGCAGCAGCAATCACTCATAAAACGATTATAGCAACGATAGGACAATACAGCTGCCGCATAGTTATAAACAACATCAACAACAACAACAATATTTCACAAAATCATTAACTCTGAGCGACGACAATCCGTCTATTGTTTTTGGGTGGTGAAGTAGCACGATCGACTCTGAGCAATCGCGCTACGAAAGTAAGCGAGCATCTCGAGCGCCACATTTGAGACACGCGGGCTACCCGCTTGACAGCGATTTCTGTAGGTTGCTAGTGTTGCTGTTGTTGGCAAACGGAAAAAAGCACACCAAGCATGCACGGCAATTAAGTGTAGCAGCAATAACAAAAACAACGCCCACAAAAATAAAAAAAAACGCAAAAACTGAAATCTATGCGCCCACACATTCACCGCTAAAACCACCACCAGCTGCACTAAACACCACATATACAACGGATAATTTGAGCGTTTATCGCCATCCGCTTGCGCTGAGGAAAGAGGAGCGTATTGCAACAGAAGAAAAGAAAAAAGAGGTGAAAATATAGATAGCAATTAAACGAACGAGCTGGCCAGTAGCCAAACGCGCTGCAGAGACCAACAACCGCATTGTGGTCGTAAAGTTCAATAAAACAAAAAACAGCAACAGCAAGTAACAATCTCAAAATAAGCTACCGCTATTACAACTACTACTGCAAATAATAAACATTTAAAGCGCTACAAATATTACTTGTTTGCATTTTTCCTTAAATTGCTGCATTTAACAGCACAACGGACAGCGCGCAACAACAATCAGCGACGCGCATCACAAACCAGCTGCACGAGATATCCGCAACAGGTACAAGGCAATAACAACAATCCAAACGCGCACGCGGCAATTCCGAAACGAATTAGTTCAAGCCTGCGCGCACCATTGGCAACACGTAGTTGGCAACACCGACCACAACAACAGCACATAAAAATATTTACAGCATATTTAAAGAAATGCAACACTGCGCCTAACGCGAAGTGCAACGACCGCGCCACTAGCGCCACCACCGCTACCACATCAACATAGCCAAACGCACACCGCAGCACGCGTTTCGCAACAACCTTGGCCGCCACTTCAATTGGATTACCACTAGTTTTGCACTTTTGGTCTGGTTTTTGTTGCATACAAAACACGATTTTGGTGTTTGCAAGTTCAAGCGCAAGCGTAAACGCGAGCGTCAAGTTCCGTTCAATTAGCGAAGCGTGGCCATAAAGAAGGCGACGGCCGCGCCGCAACACACTTCGCCACGGCAAAGCGCGTTTGAGTATCACGGCAACAGGAAGTTGGGTTCAAGGCAGGAACCAAAGCGAGCGCATGCTGCGTGACTATAGACAAGCGAGAAGTTGATTCAACTGGATTGCGCTTTTGGGAGGTTGTCAACCCTAAACATATGAGCGCGCGCCCCCCTTCACCAGCAAACTATAACTCAACTGCCGCGTCTCTAATCAGTGAGGAATGCGCATCAGATCTATTCGAGCAACAACGGTGACATCAGGCGTAGTTGCAAACATTGCTATTAAAAAAATCAATTCGAATTCAACATTAACCGTGACGCGCGCGCTTGTTGAAGAAAGTGCTGAACGTGTGAGAAGTGATTTCCCACATCCAAGTGTTTAGGTACCTTTAAAAATTCCTAACTTCTACAACCCGCAGCGACATCATAACGCTCACCTCCTATACCTGCATCATCTGATCTCTGACCGCATCCCCAGCAGCAGCCACGCTCAATACGTGCCGCCCTCAATGTAAGATGTTAGCAACCGCAAAATGGACTTTGCTAACCACAATTATTAACAGTTTACTGCTATGCACGTCAGCCATTGAACGGCCACCAGCGCTTATCAACGCAGGCCCACCAGTGTCATCACTATCCGCTCAACAACAGCAAACAGAAACTCCCGTTACACATTCAACGCGGCATGCCCGCGCCAACACAGCATTTACAGCGTCCAATAGTGCGCAATTAAGGAAAGCATCATGGCTGCCCTCTGCAACCGCGAACACTGCCGCATCTTCCGCGATCGACAATAAGCGCACCGCGCGCAATCTCTATGCACCGTTCGATACCTTCAGTAAGGTTGATGAAGCGCCTTTTACAGATTGGCGCAAACGCACTGATGGCACAATAGTACAATCGTTTGGCGCTTATCGCAGCGGCCGGGCTGTGGCAGACGTTGTGAACCAATCTCAAACTCAGTCCGCCCGACAAGAAAATGCTGTGGCCCAGCGGCGTTCAGATGTTGTGACCACAGTTGAAGTGATACCGGCGCCAGGCATAGAGATTTCGAGTACCAGCGGCAATGCGCCCATCACAATACCTAAACAAATCGTGCCAGATGCAAGTGCTGCCGCAACATCAATTTCATCTGCCACTAGCCCTCTAATAATGAACGCAACACGTATCTCTCGTCAACGCAATTACGTATATATACCACTACAAAAGCACAACAACCCACAAGCGATGCTTCCAAAACGCAATAACACTTCCTTGGGTTACTTGGGTCCACCAGCGCATGCAGTGGCTGCCGCAGCTCAGGAGTTTGGGGAAGAGTTATTAAATGCGCGCACAGATCGCAGCGACATAGTCAGCCCACAAACGGCACCAGCCACCGCACCCGCACCTCAAACATCCACGGATAAAGTCGATTATGAGGAGGAAGATGCCGCACGACGCAATGGCCTTAAGTTTCCCAGTTATAGTCTTAAACCAGCGAGCCCTTTCTATCCACAAGGGTATCGTGAAGATAATCCGATCTTCACCGAAACATCTGGCTTCGAAACACCCTACAGCGAAGATGTGCTGCCCTCGCAGTACGAACAAGATACGCGTCACACGCGTCAACTGATCTACGAGAATAGCGATGCCACGTCTATTTCACATCCCTTTGAGTTTCCCGGCTTGGTAGCTAACAACAAACCACATACCCTCAACTCCGCCGTGGCAGCGGGAAAGCTGTTCCGTGAAGAGGTCACCAAATTCGGTGATGTGAACGGACCCATAACAGCAGTGCCACAACGTCCGCAACGCGGTTTGTTCTTTGGCGACACAGAGTTCAGAACCGGTCCACCACGGCCATTCGTACCACAAAAAGCGTTTAATGAATTTATTGGGCCAAATGGTCCAATTGATTATCAAAGCTCGAGAAAGAGTCGATTCTTTCCTTTCAAATCATCACGTAGTCCGCGAGTCGTCTTTCCTGTGAACGATAACATTGGCACAACAGGACCCAGTGGCACGGGAAATGGTGTCTACTTCAGCGACAGTGTTGCTTTCAGGTATGTAGTAAATAACTGAATTGAATAACTTATATTACCAGGCAACAGATACCGGAAAAGAGAGTTTTAAAAGTGAAAGTTTTCCCAACAAAAGGAGGGACCTACAGTTTATGCTAAGCCGCCTCAGAACGGCTGATGGTTTTTTTATGAGGAGCCTTTATTTTATGCTTGAAATACACCCGGAGGAGTTACCATTCCCTGACGAGGGGCGACCGCAATTTCTAAATCGTAGTTAATTTTTTATGAAATTAATTTTTTATAACTTTTGGATGTTAGTACGACACCAGGATTTGAACCCGAGCTTTCCGAATGGTAGTTTGCAATGCTAACCACTCGGCTACCTCAGCCGTCGTAATACAGGCACAATTTTCGTCTTAGTCCCTAATCTTTATACAAAACTTAAAGAAGGCTCTTCCTATTGCTCGCCCATGTTCAGTGCGAGAGAAGGATTGTGTGCCTCAGTTCTAGCTCCTTGTCATCCCCTCTCTGATAAATGTTTACGGGCACGAGAATAAGTGTGCAGTGATCAGAGATATTAGATGATTTCAAAAGAAAACACTCCAACACCAAGATTTTGCGCTGTAAAATCCCATCTCCTAAGATATTTCAACCTCTTTGGCTTACAAATAGACAGTTCAACGATTCCGAATAAAATTAGAGGGCGATATCAGAAAGATTCATTTAATAATTACTTTTCGTTTTCCTTGCAGAGATCAAAATTTCGGCATAAATGATTTGGCCGCCATCCAAGATGTCCGGAACGAGTTCAGTCTACAAGATATCGATGGAACCTCGGAGAGTAGTCTTACAGGTGCACCGTCTACGGGTACATTCAAAGAAAAGGGTAAGAATTTTGTTTTTCTAACACGGCAAATCTAACTCCAACTTGCACACGCACTTCTAATACAATCTTCATTGCCTAATTGTTGTATTTGTTGCCTTTTACTCAATCGGAAACATGACAAATTCACACAAGATGGAATAGCTACTCATCACTCACTCTCTCTCTCTACTTAAGAGCTCTCTTTGGTGCTTCTGGTTGCTTTGAGCACTTCTAAACAGTACAGAAACAAAATTCATAACTAAATTTAGTGAAGTCATAAATGCTGGAGACTTGAATTTTCATTTGGAGACTGCATCAATCAATAGTGATCACCATAAAATTATTTGAATCATTTTTTTTTTAACCCAAAAACCATTTAACGAAACAAAATCTACAAATGTAAAAAAAATAAAAAAAAAACAATTAAGCAAAAATTAACAAAAATGAAGCAAATAAAATATCTCTTACTTACCACTCTTCTCTCAGTCGATATCACAACCGAGCTCGAATGTCAACATCGCGGTGGTACTTGTGAATTTTTTCTCGGTTGTTGGGTGAGCGGCGGCCTACTGCAGGGCACCTGTAATGGCCTCTTGCGCGGCTGCTGTCATCGCACAGCCAAATCGGCAAACCTACGCACATCCGAGTATGTGGGCGGCACAATTGATTTGACTGATCTTCCGCACAAAAATTATGGTCCTGTTAAAAATGATCCCAGTGAGTTTAAAATCCTTTGATTTAGGGTTAAATATTCGTACATACATACGTCAATATACTATTGGATAGATTGCACGACGGCATGTCATGGATTTTTACTTGGAGAAAGGATTTATGTATTTGTTGTTGTTATGTGGGTTGCACATTATTTGGTCCTAGAATTTTTGCGAAGTGTGTAGACTTAAATATGTGGAGGTAGAGTTCTTAACCGGTTAATTTAATTGCCAGCTTCAAAGTAGAAATTTGATTGTAAATATGCTAAACTAATAACAACAACATAGAAATGTTATCACAAATTTATTCTGTACAAATTAAAAAAAAAAACATATATATATATATATATATATATATATTCGATATTTGTAGAATCTAATGCCAAAATTTACGACCACGAGGTCGAACATTTTCAGTTGTTTTTAACATTTTGAGCGAAATTTCGAAAATTCGAAAATAATCTTCCAATAATAATTTCCAGAAATCCTACATCAATTATCATTTTGAGTCTGCATTAAAATATTGAAAAATTATTTTAAATTCAAAATTAAGTTTGGTAGACTTTCAGATTTAATTAATTTTTCAATATACTTTTAATAATTTTAACTAATTATCAATCAATCAATCGTTAAAGCAATATTTCGAATATGGTAGCCCCGAATTAAGGCACCGTAAAGCATTTGACCAAAAAATGAATATCGCGGAAGTAATAAATACAAAACAAAAACATAAATTGTCATCACTAAATTTAAAAGAAATTTCCAGAAAAGAACTAAAAACTTGTGTGGGAATACTCAAGCTATTTCATCCGAAAAGTTCGATATCAAATATGAAAAAGCAAAACATGAATTCGTAAATATTTTAATTTTGGTAAAACTTACGGCATAAATAAATTTATCGACTTGCATGAGCATGTATGTACGTATGTCTCAAATTTCACGCATTTCTCTCACCAAAATTAATTTCTAAACACAAAATCACAACACTATGACAAGCGCTATATATTTATAGTCAATTGCAGTATTCGACAACTTTGCATGCCACAAATAAGTAACGAGTAGTTTAACTGTCCTATAGCTTTTGGCTCACTTGAGCATTGCACCAAAAAAAAAAAAAATAATAATACTAAAAAAAAATAAAAAAAAATCTTCACTTATTTAGTTAGATGGTAGCTCATTAGCATGTAGTCATATAGAGGTGTATACATGTAGATTTGAATCACTGCTCGAAGGCTCCCGTTCATGCATGAGATCCTTTCACTAAAACCGATTAATGAAATTCCCTTCAAAAATCATCGGACTGTCCTACACTTAATTAAATCGAAAAAATGGAAAAAAACGAAAAAACGCTTTCCACTTACGATTTACTGCACACACGCGTACATACAATACATAAATACAAATATGAAATTAATAAATACTCGTACATAAATGCTAAAAATTCCACACTCAAGCCAGTCATTTATAGGCTGCATGCCCCGTGCCGTTTTGTGGCATGCGAGTGGTAAGCATCTGAAGTATATTTGATCGTTTCGAAAGCACACGCCAATCCACTATCTAATCACACCCCGATTATTGTTGCTGTGCGATTTTTAGCTGCAATCGCGTTACTAATCCCTAACGTAGCTTTCAAATATTCAAATTATGATTGGTTGTTTTGGCTTAATTGCAACCTTCGTCTGCGGCTTGGCGCCTGGCGGTTGGCCAATTTGTTGCGGAAGATCAGTGAGTGGCGCGATTGTAGTAGAGTGGCGAGTGAGAAATCGAATTTATGGTTTAGGATTTTGGAAATACACACAATGCACTGGTTACTTTGGTTTATTTGTTATTTTTTTGCATTTCGCAAGCGCTTTTCCTTCACAACACAATTATTTTACTACTAATAATGCTCTTGCTCTCCTTGATACTGTCGCGCGCTCTCACATTAAGCGTAGTCGCTCATCAGTTGCCACTATCGCTCACTAAACTTTAAATTTCCCAACATCTACATACATTCATATATACTTTTCCTTGTTTGTTTAGTAGTTTTGTTTTTGTTGTTGTTGCTTGTTTTCTCGCTTTGTTTTAAAAACTCATAAATCCTTCATTGTTTGTCAAACGAGAGTAAAGAGGAAAAAAAACATTAAATAAATTTTCGCAAATTTTTCAGGTTGTGGCATCTCGCTCGCCAAACAGGCTGCTCAGCGTCGCATAGTCGGTGGCGATGATGCCGGTTTCGGCTCGTTTCCTTGGCAGGCGTACATACGTATCGGCTCCTCGAGGTAAGTGTATTGACATATAAACTTTTATTTGCCTACAACAACAACAACCGGAACTAAGTGTCAGCATCAAAAAGTCAAAAATTTAATAGTCTTGCGCACATGCACCCGTACATATGTAAATACTTAAGTGTTCAAGCCTATACACAATAAAATGGAAACTTGTTCGTTACCCGCTAAAAGCACAAACTCAGAGATTGCGTAATATCGAATACTTTTTTTGGCCAAATCTTAACATCCCACAGGCCAGCGCCTGTAATACTTTCCAAGCACTCCGTTCCGCTGCACAATCGGCGCTTCACAGTTATTAGGGTGTAGCCGCTTGCTGAGAACTTCTTTCAAACGTAGTAGACAGTTCCAGTTTTAGAAGGCTCTGGTAAGCACAACGCGCTTACGTCCAACATCTGGCCTAAGGGCGTCGGTTAAGAGCAGTCCCTTTTCGTCTACAATTTCAACGCCAACTCAAGAATTTTACAGATCTTTTGAAAGGTTTATTGCCCACTTAAAGCTCGGATCCGAAATCGAGCTCTCTGAATCTAAAGCAAAAGTGTTGATAGGCTTCTTTTCAGTAAATGGACAGAGACATCGCTTGGCTTGAGACTCTTTTACGAATAAAGACTCCGATTAGTGAAACAGAATTGTATTTAGGAACGAGAATAAGAAAAGAACAACTATTATTTTCACCATTTAACTGGAGGCAAATGCTTTGGGAATCTACCATCCCACCTACCTGAGGGCCATGGCGTGGCCACAACTTCATTATGCCTTAAATTTCAAAACCTAGCTTTGTATAAAGCCAAATTTCTTTGCCTATCTTTGCTGCAATTTGTTGTTTCACTTCACCTTGACGTGGCTTATTCATATTTGAGAAGGAGCTTTCAAGTGACTAAAGGCATACACATCGGTATCCCTGTGATCAAAGATCCACGATCCAAAGTGGCAGAGTAGTTAGTTTTTTTTGACATTTGAGTGCAGTCATTTTATTTACAACTTTCTATTTAAAAAACTTGGGTAAACAGCGCTGTATATATTAAAAAGTACATCCCTCATACCCATCAAGATGTATACATATGTATGTACGTACACATCTGCATACACCTTTGAAGGCTGAAGTATGTCTCTGTCATTTACCATCGCCTGTCCTACTCATGTGGTGACCTCAACTTCACTTATTGCTGGTATTAGTGTTGTTGTATCGGCTAACAACGAGTGGACTACAGTCTCCGGGCCGCATTTTTATTTGCCTCTTAATAACAACTTTGTCAACAACTCCGACGTATTCGTAACTTTTATTTCCTGCTATTACTGATTTATCTGCCTTCCTTAACACACACACACGTACACACATTTTGCAAAAAAAAAGTACAATAAATACCGGTCAAAGTTTTGCCAATGCAGACACGATATACGGTACGGATCTCTGTTCAATTATTTTAGTGTTTTCAACTTTTCTTTTCGTACTTTTCACATTTTTCATTTCTTCCCCACAGATGCGGCGGTTCATTGGTGTCGCGTCGACATGTCGTCACGGCCGGTCATTGTGTGGCACGTGCCACACCGCGCCAGGTCCATGTCACTCTTGGCGATTATGTAATCAACTCCGCCGTTGAGCCTCTGCCAGCTTACACGTTCGGCGTGCGTCGCATTGACGTGCATCCGTATTTCAAATTCACACCCCAAGCGGATCGTTTTGATGTGTCGGTGCTGACGTTGGAGCGGCCGGTGCATTTTATGCCGCACATAGGTGAGTAGCGCTGGGGTTAGAGCAAGATGAATGTGACTTTTAAGGGCATTTAAATGTTCAATCACTCACTGGAACGAGTTTAAGCTTGGAATAATAGATAACCCTTTTGGAGACTACCGAGTATTAATAGGGATTTCCGGTGTTTTAATACTCAAATTTTCGTATTTGCGTTGTTATCTCAAAGATTTTTACCTTTATTTATTTTCAAGCCCCCATTTGTTTGCCCGATAAGAATGAAGACTTCCTGGGAAAATTTGGTTGGGCAGCTGGCTGGGGCGCTTTGAATCCTGGCTCAAGGCTGCGTCCGAAAACCTTGCAAGCAGTGGACGTGCCTGTGATTGAGAATCGGTGAGTTACCTGAGGTGAAAGTTAGCAAACTGGCTCAACACAGATAAAAATTTAGTTTTTAAATAATAAAGAAAAGTTTTTGAAATAGAAAATTATACTCTCGCTAAGGTGATGCTAAGAAAATTATTTGGCTCACTGTGAGAACTGTTGCGTCTTAAGTTATGCCCCGAATAGCTAGAGATAGACTAGCAGAATAGGGTCAGACCATTGTCTCTTCTTTTTAAAAACAAAGTCTTTATTTTTCACTCCTCCCTTAGCATCTGCGAGCGCTGGCATCGTCAGAACGGCATCAACGTTGTCATTTACCCAGAAATGATGTGCGCCGGCTATCGGAATGGTGGCAAGGATTCCTGTCAAGGCGACTCTGGTGGGCCGTTAATGCATGAGAAGAACGGACGCTGGTACCTAATAGGTGAGAAAATCAGTAAAAGATCGCACTTCTTACGCAAAACTAATATTTAATTATCTCTATCTCCCACTCTATCCTCATAATGATTGCAGGCGTCGTGTCAGCTGGCTACTCGTGCGCATCGCGCGGCCAGCCGGGCATCTATCATCGTGTACCCTACACGGTAGATTGGATATCCTATGTTGTCGGTCTAACAACGAATGTGTAGTAAAAGTGGTCTCACTCCACTCCACTCACCTGCCGAAACAACTTTCTTCGCAAATGAAAATAATCTAAAACTAAAAATGCTCAACACCATATTCCATGTGCTTACTTTTATCGATTATTTAATTTGAACAAAGAAAAGTGTTCTCTTTTCATTTCGTTTTCAATTAGTTTTAAGAGAAAATATTTATTATATCCGTAAAGTATCGCGATTTCATGTCTCTCTGACCTTTTTGTAAATATTTTATTGCATTTTCATCACTACGTACTCCTTCTTCGTTGTCCTTCATTGTTGGCAGCTGCTTTCACACTCGTATGTGAGCCTACATATGTTATAAGTAATATATATATATATATATATATATGTAAATCACTATTTTAAATGGGGACATGCGAGGGCATTGCTAGAAGTGTTAAAGGTTTTAGATGTAAGCTTAGCTCTGTACTAAAACTAAGATAAACAAATATTTATAAACCTACTACATACATACATACATATGTACATACATACATTATGATATGCATTATACTCGTAGTGCTTAGTCTTATACAAACATACACCTAATCGCATTTAATTGCGTCTTATTACACTTTAACAAATGCTGAATTTAGTCATAATTTTGCACTAAAACGCTGTAAAAGTGAAAGTAAATTAGAAACACACATACACAGCTTACACACAAATGTATGTTAATTAAAGCTTATAAACATGTATAGCTTACTTAGTGATGTAAATAGTGGACAAAACTATTAAGTAGCAATAAATTTTTATATAATTTATATGCAAATAAAGAAATAAAAATGAATAAACCAGCAAATCTGTTTACAATACGACGATATACATGCATACATATGTGTATGTGTACTTTATCAACGAAGCACCTCAGCAGCTGAGGTGGTACTGACTAGTTGATCCTCTCAAGTTTGAAGGCGCAAAACGAAATATCAAAAGTTTTTGTTTAATTTTTTAAGTATTCCATTTGCGTCGTATCAGCGAATCGAGAATGTGGACTTTTCATGCAATGAGTAGACGTGTTTAGAGCACTCTTCCGCCTAAGCACTCCCTAAGCTTAAAAAAAATTAAAAAAAAACTTGCGCATTAGTTTTTTCAATGCTTGGGTTTGTTTTGATATGCACTTTTTGGTATACCCTCGAACTATATGCGCAATTTACTTTTATCTCCTTTTATTTGCCAAACGCCGCCCTACCAAATTGGTAAAAGCCTACTCAGCTCAGCTCAAGAGAGTTCCACTCAATTGAATTTAACTAAACGACTGAACTCTATTAAACTAGACTTAACTCAATTCCACTCAACTCAACGGAACCCAACTCAACTCAAATGAACTCAACTCTCCTTAATTGAACTCTTAGCTTTCTTTGTCTCTTACAGAGGGAGGATTGGCCTTTGGTTTAGATGTAATATAACAACCATCCATGATCCGTCACCCTACTAGACCCATTTAAGTTAAAACAAGACTTCGTTAAACACTAAAACTGAGCAATGCTCAGATAAGAACCTCTGAATCAAAAAAAAAAAATCGTTTAGAACGCATAAAACAGCATCGGAAAGGTTCTGCCACCGCCGTTCGATACCAGCAGGTGCTACGATGGACTGATTGTGGATTTGAAGAGTAAAGTCATGCCGTACTCACCAGTGGAGTATAGGAGGATGAAGATTTCCAGTCCGTTGGAAAGATGTAGTGGATAAATGGGGAAAAACTTCGCTGCATTCAGTGTCTTGAATTGGCGTCAGACAGTGAAAATAACGAAGGAATGACGCACTGTTGTTCGCTCAGCAATAATCGCGTAGGTGGTGTGAACGCCAGTAGACCGCTTTCTTCCCGCTGTAGTTCAAAATTATTCATCCTACCATCTCTTTTTCTGATACTACTGAAAACACATTATTTCCGGGGTGATGGTACGTGTAGAGTTTAAGATACTGTTCCGCAGTTCCCTTATCGAGTTTCTGACGGATTTGGGAATGTACAGTCAACCATATTTCGGGTGTCAGTGTAATTGATCAGCCTCAGCCCGTTTTAGGATGTTTCTTTGCCCACGTAGGCGCAAAGTGGAAAGCACAATTGTTACATTTTAGAGGGTGCAGTAGTAACAGGCGCATTTTAGACGCTCATAGGAAGTGTCCTTGACTTTATCTTACGGAGTATTCTTTTCATAAAGTGGATCCCGATTTTCCTTCTCATTTTAGCTCGACTCCAGAGGACACTTGGTATAAGACCGTAAGTAAAAGAGTTGTTCCCCGACTATTCCCAGGTGCATGGCAGACAAAAACTTTTTTTACTGGACAAAGGTTACGCCCTTTTTAAATTATACTTAAAGATATACGTGTTTTTGTTGTTGTCTATTTATTAGTTATTTAAAATATAAAACTTCCAGAGCTCTCTTGCCAAATAATCTTGGAGGCCATAATACCACAATTTTGTCAATGCAATAATTTAGAAGTGGCAACAAAAGCGTTTTCGACAGCTCAATGGCGGTTATTTCCAGTGATTTCTTAAGCTTCTGACTGCAGAACCAGGAAGTTTGCTTGATTTTCCATTCCGCTTTTCACACTTTGATCCTTTGTCAAGCCGTCCTTACGTAACGTCTTACAAAGGTGGAATACCTCAAAAGATATCTTGTAGAAGACCACTGAAAATGTGAAATTTAGATTTGAGTTAAAGTTTTTACAATATCGCTTTTCGGTTACGTATGATCATTGTGAATGAAGCGAGAAGCACAACGAATGCTTTGAAATCCACCAGCAGGCTTGTGATGGTCATATAAATGGCCAGATGTGCACAGAATCCAAAGAGCACGCCGTGAAATAGGAGCCAGGGCAGCATGAGCTTGTAATTGAGCTAAGATATGCATTTTGTTATCAAATATAAACCAATTCGCAATCAACACGACACACCTTATTCACGCCAAACAGCAGGAACAAGTTCATGAGCACATTGACGGCCGAAAGAAAGTAAGCGCTGAGACTCACCGCCATTACCACTTTTGAGAAGCAGAATATTGGAATTTTTATTTAAATATGAATTGATTAATGCAATCGAATTCTATAGTAGCTCAAGTAATTACTCGTACCTCTTCGGAACATCATGCGCGTGCGCTCCGTTTCCACCGATTTTCTAAGAGCTAACATCAGGCTGCGCACCACCTCATTGCTCCATTGCATGGTCAGTCCTGCGCAGAGAAGCATTGTTGTAGACGCAATAATGCTCAGCCAACCGATAATGACGACGTTCTCACACAGATTTTGCAGCTGCTCATCCTGCTTTCGAACGTCATGTGCGACCGATGTGGTGGCTGTTGTGCCAACCGATGATGTTTTCAAACTGACGGGCGCTGGTATGAGTTCTTTGCGATTGGGCTTCATTTGCGCTAAATTCGCAAAAGCGTTTTTTGTATGATGTTACTCCCTTGAATTGTGTTTCGTTAAAAAATATATTTGAATTGATTTGATTTTTTTTTTTTTAATTAAAAATTTTAATTTTAAGGCAATCACATTTGAGTGGTTGTCATGTTGACTTTTGTCAATTTAATAATTTAATAATTAAATAATTTATGAAAAATTGGTATTTTTGGCACATTTAAAAATGAATTATGCAAAAGGAAGATTTCAAATAAAAATAAATAAATAAATAAGTAGAATTTTAATTTAAGAATTTTCACTCCGAAATCAGAAAAGAAACCATTTGAAATACAAGCCGGACTGCTTGATAGAACTTTTTCTGTTTGCGATAATTCAATTCTCTGATGAAGCAATATTGCATACTTTTAGGCGCATACAAATTAAAGTTTTATCTCAGCATCTTTTCATAATCGCCCATAGAATTAAAAAACTATGGTCGTTTTTTACAATATGCTTTAATTTAATTTAAAGTTTTAGCAAATCATTATAATACGTTACACTATATTTAAGTACCTATAATTATCAATTAATAAATGTCATATTTTTAGCCAAATTAATAATAAATAAATTTAACAAAACGAGAAAAACAGTGAAAATAGCATTATTTTTATGGGAAATTAAACAAAAAATTGATCGTGCGCTATGATGTCACGACAATAGCTGAACCAAACGATGATAGCCATCATTTTATTTCAAAAAGGAACGCCTAAAAGTATACTTCGCAAAATATGTACGAGCGAAAGGTCTTTTAAAACAAAGTAGTCACAGTGGTGGGCGATTCTTAAGCGCCCTACCAGCAAATAAAAACACGTTTTTTTTTTAAATTATTTAACAAAAAAATACATTATATTATTATTATTATATATGTATATATTAATTATATAATTTTCGTCAAAAGTTTTACTAACAGCAGAACAGGTGATCAAAAAATATATAAAGAAAAAAATTATTTATATTTATAATTATTAATTCCAATAATATTTATTTAATTTATTTATTCTATGTTATTATTAACAGCTTTTGGCGGAGTTCATAGCGTGCCCAAAACGAAATAAATAATTTTTTTCTTTTTTCCCTGTTAATTTTTACATTTTAATTTATTTATTCTTGTTTAACATCATCACATGCGCTGCTATCACAACATTAAGTTAACAAAAGAATTGAAATAAAAAAATTAGAATAATAATATGCGAGAGAAAGTGTAATTATAAGCGAACAAGTTAACCTGAAGCACGTTGTTGCCATAAAAGTTCTTGACAACGAGCACTCGAGCACAATGATGATGAATCAAGAGAATGTTGTAGATGGACAATAACAACAAATACCGTCAACTGCTATTCACTCAACTCCAAAAAAAAAAAAAACACTTTACCTCCATTCACAGATAGATATATAAAAGCTGTGTATAATAAATAATAAGTAGCGGCTTCGTATTTTTTTTTTTTTTTTTTTTTTTTTTTTTTTTTTTTTTGATAATGCCTCTTAATGGCGCTGATGTAAAATAAAAAGATTTAAGAAATGATAAGAAACGAAGGTTTCCATTTGCTGATACTAAGATATTTAAATATTGGACAATATTGGCCTCCTCTGAATGTCTGATGAATAACTATGAGATTCGAGGGGTTGACATTCCCTGCCGATGAGCAACCACAATCAGAAAAATAATTACATTTTGTATTAATTTCTATAATATTTGGATGTTAGTCTGGACAGGCTTGGAACTCATGAGCCTCCCCATAACAGCGCGCACTCTTAACCACTCGGTTCTTGCTTAAAAACACTTGGACTGAAGTTGGGAAATACTTTCTGAGTGACCATAGGTAAGGCGCTTTCAAATTGAATAATCAGTATTGTTTTTAGTTGTTATTACTTTAATCAATTTTTAAGAATTTGTCACAATTTCAATTTTAAGGATGTTCAGTGTACTCCAAAACTCCCATCATTAAAGATCTCTATCTGCAGTTCGGTTACTGCTGCTGAGCTTCTTCGTTTATTGTAATTCACCATCACCTTATTCACACCAACCCACAAAGCAGCATTGCAACACAATAATAAAAGTAATGCAACGAAAATTTCATAATCACAATTGTTTGCATTTTGGACATGCAACACCAGTCTACAATTGCTAAGCACACACACTTACTCAGCTGCAATCGTACCTCAGCTGTAGAAGCTGGCAGAGAAATGAGAGTGTGGCGATAGTTTTAGCATCTTCTTCTCGGCATAAACAGCGCCAAGTTTTTAGCAACAGATGGCAAGACACATACACACACGCACATACATATATCTTATACTGATTAAACAAGAACTCTCATTTGGTGCCACATTTGCTGTTGGCTGTTGCTGGAGAAACATGTTGCTGAGTTTGTTAGTGTTCTGCTGCCTGTTGATTGCTACCCGTGTTGGCACTTCCTCAGCAACTGGTTAGCTCAACGCACAATTAGAAGACTCGCCACGCACACACGCACACACGAACACTCCCATTGATGCCCACGCACAGCAGCTATGAGTAGCAAAAGTATTCACTGCAAGCTGCAAGATCAGTTCGGTTCTGTCGTTTGACGCGTTCGGTTTGGCTTTATCTTTCAACTTTCTTCTGCTCTTGCCGTTACTCTGCTCTTGGTGTACGCGTGCGCGAAGTTGGTGGTGCAAAGCATTCTCAGGTGTAGCAGCGCGTGTGCGCGTTGAAGAAGCTGGGCGAAGCTTACATTGCGGCTAATAGACATATAGCGGTAGTGAAACCTTTCTAATGTAATTTAAAAATATATTTTGTTGTTGGTTTTTCGTCTACTCGTTATAAGAATAAAAAAAAATGTGCTAAAGTGTTATTAAATTGAAATTTCAGGCATTAAATGTGGAAAATGAAATATTAAATAATTAATTTGAAGGTGTTTAGTGCTCGAAAAGTGTAAATATAACGGTAAACTGCAGTAAATATATTATAATTGTATGCGCTTGAGATACATACCTTAAACCCCTGATCCTTCATCGGGCTGAATGGGCTGAAAGTCGTATTTTAAAATGAAATAATGTATTCATATATACATACATATACATACATATAAACATCCACGCATTCTAACTAATTTTCTTTTATCTAAAAATATCATTTTTCTTTGTTGCCCTCGTTCCCATACCATAAGAGTATTGGAATGTAGTGAAAAACGTAAACGAAGTTCAACGATGTTGTTGTTGTTGTTATTAATATCAATAGATTATAGAAAATGGTATGCAACATTCTCCAGAAGAATTAACCACTAGTGCGGCACCATACATAAATGTGTTTTCAGACAAACATATACACATATCATATCTCACACACTCACAAACATAATGTACTTTGTAACAGACATACATAACATACGTACATATGTATGTATATATGTAATAAATATAATATTAATGACTCAAAGCGCACAGTACTGCCCCATTTTGTGTGTGGCACACTTTATGTTGCAACGGCGGTGAGCAGTGAGCAGCGACATCAGCAGCATCTTCATTATCATCGACAGCAACAACCACAACAACCACAACAAGCACAGCAACATATTTAGCACACTTGCCATAATTTACCTAACTTGCTGCTAGAGTTTTGCTTTTACTCGTTTGTCTTTTATTTCTGTTTTTGTATTTGTTTTGGTATTGCTGTTGCTGTTCCTTCTGATCGTCAATTGATGGCTGATGCGCTCATTGAACTACGGTTAATCATTCGCAACAGCTGCCACTCTTTATTTTCTGCATTTACACGTATGCTTACGAACTGGTTGTTAATATGTGCATGTCTGTATGTATATGTGTGTTGTGTATTTGGTAATTGTGTCATGGCCAAGGACGCAATTTCGTTGAATGTTTGTATGTATGGGTGGATGAATTGTGTTTGAGCATTTGATAGTGACTTAAGGAAATTTTAAATGAAGTGAGAATGCCGTTCGAGAGCGGATTTGATTTCTAAGCAAAATGTGTACTAGTTTTGAACGAGAAGTTTTCCCTAAAAATAGAAACTTCAAATTATTACTTTTTTTATAGCAGATTTTTTACAGTAAAAAGTAAATATATATATATATAAGTGTGTGTATATCTCTATCCAGACTAGAAGTTTTTAGATTTCCGATGTACAAAAAAGACGAATTGAACTGAAAGCAACTAGACTTTGTTAATTGCGGTTTCCGCAGCGGATACCGGCCAACTTTTAGCTGTTGATTTCTTTATTTATTGGTTTCATGAGAACTGGGTTGAGTTACTTTTTTGCTTCAATACTCCAAAAGCAAAAAATCCTATATTGCACTTTTTTTCCATTTTATATGAATTTCGTGTATAACAAATCAGACATTTCCAATAATACTTTTTAGAGATATCCCGAATTGGATACTTCCGCAAAAAATATTAAAATTTTTAATTATTTTTGTCACTAAAAAAGCTGTGTGGCGAATTTGCGAAATCTGATCTTAGTTCTAGCTTATACGAGTACGAGACAACTCTCTCATGCTTATTGGCTTTACGTTTGTACATTTACTGCTCAATATCTCTTTTAAAATCAGAACATTTTTTTCGAAATTAAAATGTTAGAAAAACCTATATCAATTTAGTAGGCTAAATTTGTTTAATAATTAATAAAAACCATTAAGAGTAATTAAGCATTGATTATTTCACCAGCTGATTTGCTTGAATCGGGGAAAAACGTTTGTTTGTCTAACTACAAAATAATAAAATTTATGACAACTTTTCAGAGCAGTTAAGCGCCAAGTCTTTGGGTGTATTGGACCATACAATAGAAAGTATATATGTATACATACCATGATGATTAAAGTGAGAAATATATAAACATACTAACTTATATAAAAGATTATTATGGCATGAATAGGTTACCTTGAACCTCTAAATTCTTTATTTTCCTACATTTCATATATTTGGTAGAACGGAAAAATGAATTGATTTATTTATTTTAATCTAAAACTCCTTACATAATCCATCCCACAATAGACCTGAATTACACCTCCATCTGCGTATCTATCGTCGTTAAAGTGTTTCCTTCACTTAACAATCATCTAGCAAGACACATGTATTGTTTGCGTTCAAGATATAACCACGTTTACATATACATCCATGCATACATTGTAACGTGCAGGTATCTCTGGTAATAAAGCACCTGGGCTGGCAACGGCTGGCACATTCTGTGTACACTTCGTTTTCCCCACAACTTCTGCGATCTGCACAGAAGAAGTATGATTTCAATAGTTTCATTGCTTAAATTTGTTTTATTTATTTGAATTTTTGGCTTTAATTTATTTTACTTTTTACTTTGTTTAGTTTTATTAATTTTTATTAATTTTATTCTAATGTTATTTTATTTTATTTTATTTTATTTTATTTTATTTTATTTTATTTTATTTTATTTTATTTTATTTTATTTTATTTTATTTTATTTTATTTTTTTTTAATATAATTTTACTTAATTTCATATTTTTGATTTTATTTTATTTTATATTATTATATTTTACTTCATTATATATTGTGTCTTTTTTGTCCGCATTTCACTCACTTCCCCCTGGCAGCGGTGAAACAAAACCAGCGATGCTTAGAACAAGCAAAAATAGTAAACAAAATTTATAAATCATGCTTTCGTGGAAATATTTTTTAATACTACTTTTCTGAACGAGTTAAAGGAAACTATTGTTCAAGCGATGCGAATCGCTGGGCTTTTATATAGACTTTCTACTAAACGTGTTTGTCGCTGATTATTCTTAAATATAAGTATAGTTCCTAAGGTCTGATGTGTCTTACATACATATGTACATTGTTTACTAGAGTGACCGTTGAATATTATAGTTTTGCCAATCCCCAAGAACACATTAATTTAAAAAATCAAAACTTTATAATTTATTTAAGAATATGTAAGTGAATTAAGTTTGAGCAATCAGGAATCAATTTTTCATAAAAAAATTTTGTTATTGTATGATGGAAAAAATTTTTGTTGAAAATTAATGAAAAAAATTTAGTAGAAATTCTGTTTTAAAATCTAAAGCCTAAAATTTCTACTAAAGGAAATTGACTTGCGCTATAAAGTTTTGAGCCGTAAAAAAATCTTTTTAGCGACATTCGAGTGCCTTCAATGATCTGATGATTGAAGAAATAGTGAAGTCCTACTCGAGGTTTGTACCGCAGCGCACTTCGAATAAGAGGCAGAGGAGAATTTAATAACACATTGCGCGAGAAAATTCATCCACCATAATGCTTAGCATAACACTTATGGTTGTTTGTGTTTGGATGCCATCGCATTCAGCCGACAGCTAGCTAATTGAGAATGAGCGTAAAAATTAAGTCGGGTATTTAAAATTAAAAAATGAGTTGCTTTGCACAGCCACAACTGAAAAATCGTTTTAACCCATAAAGCTCTTAATTATTTTCCTAGAGTCTTGTATTATTTTTTGAAACACACCCGTATTATGGATTAATCGTTTCACATGGTCCTAAGAAATAAATTGTTGATTGATTTAAAAAAAAAAAGTATATTCTTTCCAAACCGGTAGGAAATAAATCTTAATCTGCAGTAACGAATTAAATTTCTGATGTCAATACGACCCGAAGTGATGCCCTGGATTACCTAATTGCGACAGCCGTGTATGTCGCATTGCGACTATAAAGTTGATTGTAATGCAATTGAAACTACTCTAAGGCCATTTGCACAATAAATGATTTAATTGAGTTAAAAAAAAATAATATTAATAATAGATGTTGGGTCCATATTCAATATCACTGTGGGCAAAGGAATGGTGTTTGAGACTATGGACAATACAGACACAAATATATATACATATTGCCTACGCTAAAAGCCTTAAAAGCTTGAGCACAACTTTGTGGTTCTCAGAATTAACAAAACTGCTGGTATTCCGTTAATTACCGGTGTGAGTTTTTTCATACTCGTAAACATTCAGTAATTGTTGTTCGAAAATCGATTATCCCAGTTTTTGGTCTTACTTTACCTATAACCAGATCGATTGAAAATCAAATATACTCGTATTTATTTATTTCAATTCAAAATATCTTTACATTATCCATATCAAAATCAATTTAAAGTCTACCTCCAACCGCGTATTTGTTATCGTAAAAGTGCTCTTTTCACTTAGCAATTTTCTGGCAAGACACATTTTCCATTTTGGTTCAGGAGGAAACCACGCTTACATTGACATCCAACTATGCATTGGAGGGTGCAGAAAGTTTTACCGTCATCATGGCACGGCGGCGGGCAAGCGCTGCCACAGCTTGTGAACTCTTCATTCTCACCACAACCTTTGAAATTTCCAAAGAAAAAGTATTATAATTATTTATCTTGAGGTGATTTAATTTACTATATTTTGATTTATATTTATTTTGTTTTATTTACTTGATTTGAATTTTTAATTTAATTTATTTTATTTTATTCGAATGTTTTGACTTTATTTTGTCCACTTCTAACTTACTTCCTTGCGGCAGTGAAGATGCAAAACCAGCGACGCCCACAACAATCAAAAATAGCAAGCAGTATTTATAGCTCATTGTTTTGAAAAGTTCCGCTTAGTACTGCTTGTCCGCGCGAGTTAATTAAGAATATTGTTTAAGAAAAAAGTCGTTGAGCCTTTATTTATACTTTCTGCTAAACGAGTTGAGAGCTGATTGTTCTAAACTATAAATGTGTTTTCCGAAGTGAGCATTTTTACCCTTTATGAACAAATAATAACATTAGGGTGAACGCTGTGATCCGAGCAACCACACGCGCACACATACAGATGCATCAAACGACGCATTTCTTCTTGAGAAATAAAAAGTTTATTTTGCCGTGTGGGAAAAGCACCCTGTTACCTAAGGACAGCGGAGGGCGGGGTAAAAGAGCCTCATACGAGTATTTCTATTCATATTTTATAAATAATTCAGCTTAAATAGCAGAATCTTGTACTGTTTTGACGTTTTTGACTCAGAGTTTGTTATTAACAAAGCTGATGAAAATGGAAGCACCCTAAAGTGTGGCATTGCGTTCGTGCTTACAATTAAATATTTTTCAATAATTTTGACACTCACCGCACGACATCTCTTTTGAGGGATTTCCCTTGAATGTGATTTACAAAATCGAATTGTGAACTGTGTCTGTATAAAATGTGAGTATGTATGTAATGTGTTACACTAAGATCAGGCGGCGGAGGTTTAATTGAGAATATATACTTATTTTTTTACAAACAAATCCATTAAAGTAGACAATTAATATTAACAAACGAGTTGCGCGTTTGCAAACAGATGTGAGAATTATTTGAAATTCGCAAATTTGTCTATTATTATTTTCTCACTATTTTCTTATCAGCTCATCTCCTACAGTTGTTCATGTTGTTTTTAACTTTATTTATTTTCATATTTTTGTATGGGTGTGTATGAGCATACGGCGGCTTATTGCTTTGACCGATAGTGCGACGGTTACATTAGCGCGAAAGCCGTGTGTGTCGCATTCGAATTTGTGCCAAGTTCACGCTAAGAGATTAGGCACACGAGCTTTGTTCCAATGTGTATACAATTTATACAATAATTCAATACCATTCACGCCGGGAAGTGGACTACGGACTGACATATTCGCATAATCGCACTTACAGTTCTTCTTATTTTTCCGTTCGGTTTGAAAAAATTATATACTTTTGTTTCCCGAAAATGGAGAAGGGTCCACAGGAAGGCATCACCAACGGACGGACTCTAAGCAATATAATTTGGCTATAAGCATGGATTGACCTGAAGCGTGGGGAGAAATACATTTTCGCTCCTACCAAGGATCGATGGGAATGCAAATATCAAATTTTTTTCATTCATTTTTTAGAATGTTTTACGTTGGTCTAGCCAACCAGCTCGCAAGGCAGAATGTGTACTGCTAACCACTCCACTGTTACCTTATTGGTTTTGATTTACTTGAAATCCGAACTGTTTTAAAGATTTTACTAGACAATTTCGGTTACAGTTCGCGCTTATACAAGATAAACATCAAACTAGAGTGTCACTCCGTGAGTAATGCAGCTTATGTTGCAAATAGCTCTGGAAAGAAATCTGTGCCATTTCGATGTAAATATGATCGTTTTCATGGAACTTTATTAGTCGATCCATATAGATATTTGGGGTGAGAAAGCGTCAAACACATAGCAATACAGTGAGTTGTAATCCGCATTTATTTGCATATAAACATTTAATTGGTGTTAGTAGATTAAAGATGACCTATGTACGTATTTGTAAATTTACTAAACTAAAATTAGAATAGAAAAATATAATTCCAAGAAAAGATTGTTACCTTATACCCGTATGTTCCCATTATAATCCCGACACAAATATACTTTTTTGTTACAAATAATAAATTTTTAGAAAAAAAAAAATCAGCAAGCTTAAAACTATTAGCACTCGCTGCGCAACACACACCTTCCGGCGTCGTTCTTCACGTAGCCAAAGTCACATTGACAGCCAACAACACATTGAGCCGCACAAACTACAGCCAACAAAGGATTGTCACCACATTTTGGCTGACAAGGAAGGCCGCAAGTCAGGAATGTGGCGTTGGGGCCGCAGTCGCTGCTGCTGACTACAGGAAAACGGAAAATTAATAGCAAAAATTGTATGAAGAAAAAAAATTAAGGAAAATTTCTTATTTTTTCACATGTTTTTTTTTTCCTTTTGGCACACTCACTCGAGTCTTGTGGTCGCGCCATTGTCATGACGTCTAAGTACAGAAGAGCGAGTAAGGCAATTAGCCGGATTTTATTGCCCATTTTCAATACAAAATTATAGATTTTATTAAGCTTAGTTATTTGTGGAAGGTAAAAGCCACTACGTTTGCTTGGATGTCGAGATGCCCTTTTATAATAACTTTTTGTTGTTGTGAATAGGCAAACACAGAGTTACAAGCTGATCTCGCTGATCTCGCGATAGATCGATAGATTGGCAATTACAATTAATTAATAACTATTGAGCACACAAAGTATAATTATTGTAATAAAAATTTTCATATTTCGTGTGACTAAGCAACTCATTACTGACTTGAGGGAAAGTTTCGCGTTTGCGTTGAGTTTTAAGAAGATATTCGGAGAACCTTTTTTAAGTCCGCATTCAGGTTTTGAACGTCATTACTGTTAACTATCTGCCACTGACGTAAGTAAAGTCACACTCAAGGAAAAATTTAAATACGTCTTGAATCGAATCTGCATATATGTAAATATTAATTGGCTCATGTTAAGTCGGAAAATAGTAAGACCAAAATTCCAAAAAATTTTCTAACCTCAGGGCCACTTTGGTCAAAGATCTAAACTATCTGAGTTTAACCTATAGGACGCGCAGTCATTGCACCACAACATAGCATTAAGCGCAAAGGTTGGAGTAGTTCATATTAGTCTACAAATGCTAATGAGTCTCTGACTTTGGACGAAATCTAGACACTTAGCTAATGCAACTCTTTCTTACAACAACCACCATACGAAAGCTTGCTCCTGGTTAATTCGTTTTAAAATACCATAAACATCTTCCTGAATGAAAAACGATCGTTTTCTGAAGATTTCCAGAGTAGTGTCTAAGGATTGCAAAAAATATCAAATATCTGTTAGGGCCACCCAACTCCTACTTAAGCCAGTCTGCCAGAAGTCAGAGATTATATTTAGTGAATTCCAAAATTCTTTTCTGCTTCGCTCTTCAATCATTGTAGTGGCGCTTAGCTCAGCATCGCTTTAATTGCGCTGAGCTTTTAAAACAATCTAATCTTGCACAGAGTTAACTGCTCTTATAAGAATAAAAGGCCGAAGGGATCAACAACAAAAGTGAGCATTGAACTAGTAACAAAAAAAAAACTTATTTCGCTTAAAAAAGAGAATTCTGCGGAAAATCTGGAGCAAAGAAGGTGTTTCGCTGAACAAAAGTTGTTATGAGTGCGACAAATAAAGATAACAAAAATAACAACAAACAATCACTTTCCGCTGTCAAGTCAATGCAGCAGCTGATGGCAGACGGTGACACATATTTTTTTTGCTGTCGCCAAAACAATAACAACAAAATCACTGAATGTATGTACATATGCAAACAAGTGTGTTTGTACAAGTGAAGCGCGTAACTACACAATGAATGTGAGTAAATTTGTATGTATGTGCAGTACAGTACAAATGGATGGTATAGAGTACACATATAGTAACAACAATATTAACAATGACAACAAAAGCTAAAACAGCAACAAAAAAATAATTGTATTTGGTTATGCTTTCATTAGCACAAGCAATGTGCGAAATTTTAATTGATAGAGTGAGACATTTTGTGAATTCAGCTCTTTCTTCTTCTTTAAACGCAACTCAAAAAAAAAAACACATATTTACATGTTTACTCAGCCGTAGTATTATATATACATATGTACACATATAGGGAGGTGATGCGTTGAAATAGAAATCGAAAATGGTTAATAATAACGGGGGGTTTTTAGTTAAAGAAATAACTTTAAATGAAAAATTAATATTAATATATAGGGTTATCCATTTCGTGGTTTTTAAAATACAGTGCTGTATTTTTAACAACTGTACAGGGCAAATATGCTATGTTTTAGTTAAATCACAGGCATTTGGAGGATGTGTGATTGGACTTGACTTCTTTGAAAATAGTGGTTTCAGCGATATGGTGAAAAGTAGACACAACACCAGCGAATAATTCTTTTTTTTTTCGGCTGCATAAGCACTCCTCTTGGTGTATTGACCAGAGAGATCTGATTACCTTTGGACTCTTCTTGTGGGTCTACACAAAAGACCATGTTTATGCGAATAAAACCAAAATCCATCAAGCCATCTTACACCTGATGGGGTCTAAAATTAACTCAAACGGATCGAAGGTTTCGAAAATTCTTGAAGCGGTTATTTGAATGATTTAGTGTTGCACATACATATATAATTGCAATGGCTTCAGCACTCATTTTGTCATAAATACACTCGGTGGGGTTAATTTTAATCTTTATTTTAATTAATTTCATATATTTTTGAGAATTGTAGGCTGGATCAGGACTCGAACACTGACTGAGTATGCAATGCTCACCTCTCAGTAATTGGGACCGGGTAATAATGACAAGGTTGAAACTTTATAACAAAATGAAATTTTGAAAAACAAAATATTTATATTCATTTAATTTAAGTTTATTTTCGAAACCGAAAAAAGGATAACCCTGTGTATTCGTACACACGATTTCCGAAGATTTCTTTTTTGTCCGTCCTTATTCCGTTCATTATTCTACTGCACTTCATACTCTTCCTCTCACTTTTCTGGTTTTTCCGCTCTAGGCATTTTCTTATTTATGTACAATATTTGTATGTATGTATGTATCTATATTTCATGCAAATTGCCATTTCATTCTTGTTAATTTGTTGTTGTTTTCTTGCAGATCATTCTTTTAGTTAATTGCTTTCCATAGCGCCATCAATTTACATGAACATGTCATAGCCATTGAATTGAACCAATTTGTGCATGAACGTAAAAGCGAGACACACGCAGACACACGCTCACGCGCACATGCACACATCTGAGATACGCACACATGCCAGCTGAGTTGCTACGACGCCATGAGCTTATGGAATATTTGGTCGCTTCTCATCATCGGCCACTGTTGGAATCTCTTCGTGGTCACCAATTTAGTTGATGCGAGTAAGTAAAAATCGTAAAAATCACAATTACCGTTTTAACGGCTGAAAATGTTGAGGAGGAACTTGCAAGGTGAAAGAGAAGAGAAAACACACCTCAGGGCAAACACAGTTTGTGAAGTAAAACGAAAAATATTGTTGTTGGAACAGGTCGTCTAAAGGATAGAGCTTAGTGGCTTCTAAGACAGATAGAAATCTCTCTATACCAAAGGAAAAAAAGAAAAGAGTCTAAAAACACTCTGGATCTATAGATCTGAGGCATATAATATTTTCTACCTTTCATGCTTGAACATTTTTTATTTTGTACCCGCTTTTCAGGCATTCTCAACACTATTTTGGGCGTGCCCAGCGAGTGCGTGCATCAAAACAACGTTTGGCCGTGCAAATTGTCCTTCTCTTGTTGGCTACAAGGCGGTCGTCATGCAAAGGGTTGTGGCGCTAACAAATGGTTGTTTTCATGCTGTATTGGCAGCGCAGCTAACACGAACACTGGACCGAATAATGGCGGTCCAGTGACAGCGGTCCAAGTGCAATATGGTCCTTACCAAGGAAACAGCGATCAAGCGCCAGTTGTGAATTTAGTTGGCGACACGCTCAACGAATACAAGCGCCTGCCTGGTAGTGGAATTGGAGGTGTTGGCGGTGCTGGTCTGGGGATCGGCGGTAGTGGCGTACTGCCGAAGCGTGTAATGCTCAAACGACGTAATGAGAATGATGTTTACGCTAAGGTTAGGATGGCAGAATGAACATATTTATCAATATTATTAATTCGCTTCAACTTACTTTACTCCTTTTCAGCCAGAATGCGGGTTGCCACTGGCTAGTCAACGTATGCTCCAGAAACGCATCATTGGTGGCAGATCGGCAAATTTCGCCGAGTATCCTTGGCAAGCGCACATACGCATAGCGGAATTCCAATGCGGCGGTGTATTGGTGTCGCATAATATGGTCGCTACGGCCGCACATTGCATACAACAGGCGCGTCTTCAGGACATATCAGTCTTTTTGGGCGAACTGGACACCCAAAACTTGGGTCATATACACGAGCCGCTGCCGGTCGAGAAGCATAAGGTCCTGCAGAAGATTGTGCATCCGCGTTTTCAGTTTCGCATGACACAGCCCGATCGCTTTGATGTGGCGCTGCTGAAATTGACCAAACCGACGGGATTTAGGTGAGTGAAATCTGCGATGCGCAATTTTATTATTTACATCTGTACATATACTATATATTCTCACGCCAGTGAACACATTCTACCCATTTGCCTGCCACAATTTCCCATCACCTTGATCGGTCGCAAAGGTTTAATCGCCGGTTGGGGCAAAACGGAGGCGAGCATAGGCCATGCGGGCACCAATGTGTTGCAAGTGGCAACTGTACCAATTATTAGTAATTTCAATAATATTTTTGAAGAGTATATTTTTGTTAATTGTTTCTAACCACAGCTTCCTTCGATTGCATTCGCTGGCACGAGAGTAAGCGCATCAATGTGGAGCTTTATGCGGAAATGTTTTGTGCAGGACACTCGGATGGCCATCAGGATGCATGCTTGGGTGCGTAGAACAAATAAAAGCAGATATGCTTCAGTGCAAGCAACTCAACGTTGCAATAGTATATTATAGCATACTTTTAGGCATACTCACTGCGTTGCCTTTACCAACACTTTTTCTTACTTTGCTCAGACGCTAATTCTCTCATTTTTGGCTTCGGCTTATTTGCACAGGTGACTCTGGCGGTCCGTTGATTGTTAAGGAACGCGGCCGTTTCATTTTGGTTGGCATCACCAGCGCCGGTTTCGGCTGCGGCGTCGACCATCAGCCGGGCATTTATCACAACATACAAACAACTGCCAAATGGATACAAGATATGATTGTGCGGCACGCTTGATGGATCATCTGCACTTAATTAAATAAAAAATATTTTAACAGTGTTTGAGCTCAATCTGATTTTTTTTTTGTTGTTTTTTGAAATATCTTTGACTGGAAAATAAGGTCAGAATTTTTGTCATCTTCGTAATATTTAAAAAATAGAGTTAAAATATATTTAATGCAAATTAATTAATTAATGAAAAATATTGCAGCTGTAAAATACAATATTGCAAATTATTTTATATTTTTATATAATTTATTTTTAACTTTGCAGTTTATTTCAATACTAAAGTAATTAAATATTTTTCAGCACAATTTATTTTAATCCTAAGTTTTAATTATTAGAAAATATTTTTCTAGTGAAGACATAAATTATTAGCTTTTAGTAAGAAATTTACAAAAATACTCAAATATACATGAAACAATTTCATTAAGCATTTTCGTAAAAAATGTTAATATTTTGTGAAATTTCAAAATACGTACAGAGAAATACTTACTAATATTATATACGTATAATATTATATATAAATGTCATTAAATATATTATAAGCACTGAAACATTTTAAATTAATTCGTTTTAATTATAACATAATAATTGGTGCTTTGTAACCGCTGAAGCGATTTTCGGCCGAGCTGCTCCTCCAATTTTTGGTTTTGCGTCTTTTTATTTTTTTTTAACAAAAAGGGGGACCTACAGTTTATACCAAGCTGCCTCCGGTGGTTTTTAATGAAGAAACTTTATTTATTGTGAGGGGCGACCACAATTAGAAAATTTGCCTTCATTTTTTATTTAAATTAATTTTTTATAACTGTTTGGATGTTAGTACGTCACCAGGATTTGATTCCGCAAGGTAGTCCGTGATGCCGAGCACTCAGCCACCGCTGCCGCAAATGATAAGTCGAGTATTTTTGCGCAAAAGATAAATTTCTGAAAATAGACAGTTTCAATCAAAGATAGAACATTTTATTAAAATTAAATAAAAATCAAATTAAAGATTAACTCGATATCAAATCCAAAAAAGGAGTATACTTAGACTCATTTGACGTCACAGAAATGGAAATAGTCCTCACACAATTACCAAATTACGTAACATGACGAATCCAGTCGAGCAAGGATATCATGACCATATCACATTTGGTATTTCGATTTAGGATTAAATAGAAATTCTCACATTTCAAAATTTGGGTGGCTAAATGATGAAATTTTCGGATTTCTATGACTTTAAGTGACAATGTTTATTTGTAAATGTGTGTATAGATACAAACTTTCAGGGTCTTTCATGATTTTTTTTCGAATTTTCGGCCAAAAATCTCATATCTGAACAAATCGATTGTATGGCGGATGTGTGGTATAGTCGCCCGATTTCGATAATTTACGGTGACAGATATTCTGTGTAGTTACGATTGTTCAATTCCAATCGAAACCACAAAGCAAGTGATTGGGAATTGTATGTTATAGACTTCTGATTGCTAAAACTTTCATCAGCATTGCCATTGTATGTGTGAAGAATAGAAAAATGTATGGCTCAAAATATTCAGTTGCATTTATCGGTCGTATATAGTCGTACTCGTCGGTTATAGTGGTCCATTCGGCCGGTACCCAGAAATGGTCGTTTCACTGTGATCTGCACACCAGGTTGTTTTTGAAATATCTCTGTCTGTCGGACCAGTTTGCTTGAAATCAGACGGAATCATCATTCTAATAATATCGGCAAATTTTTGACGTAACTATCTCTTCCCCTTCGGGTACTACTACACACTTCGAACCAAAGTAAATATTCCAAATCAATATAATATTAAAAAGCCACATATTTTCGCCAATAAAGTTTATCTAATTATGTTGATTAAAATGATATATGAAAGAAAAATTAGCATCGACTTAGGTCATGAAGACATCTAAACAAAAATTGGAGAATTATAAACTCAAACTTCTGACTGAAATGTTTGGCTTTAAATAAAAAAATCAAATGTGTGTGTCAAGATCTTTTATTCAATATACATATGTGCATGTGTGGATTTTTTGTTGTTTTATATCCGTAACTAGCAGCTGCTGCTCCACTTTTGCAGTGTAGAAGAAACGGCGAACATGTAAATGGAACAACAAGTACGACGAAAATGCAATCGGTAACAACTTTATTACCAAAATATCAACCACACGGAATGACCTGCAACAGTTGTAAATTTTTTTAATTAAAATACAATATATATATGTACAATATATATGAACATCATAAAAAATGAGCACGGTTAATGGGAATGATAAAAAAAAGCTGCAACTGAAAAAGCAAACTGAAAAGATAACAATTAGTTTCGTAAATTTTACTTACTTACCATCGTCTTCTCTTAACTTTTTTGAAAGTTGTTGGACTACTTGCTAATGAAATATTTGAATGTCTTTTGTAGGTTATGTCCTAAATTTAGGATGAATATGTCTGACTATCAGAAGCATTTCCCAGCTGCAGAAGTAAAGAACAAATCCAACGTTTTCAGTTTTCCCTAGAATAAACACACAAACAGTTATATTAAAGAAAAAGTATTTTTCCATATGCGGTGAGTATCGGAATTCTTTTTAGTTAGTAAACTTTATTATTTTGTGACTGCTTAATTTGTTTGTGTACTAAATGAAATATTCCATTTCGATGTAATTTCGAAATGTGTGTGGAGAAAATTAACAAGAATTTTTAACAGTTAATTGACTTAAAAACTTGAATTAATTTTTCAGTTTAGGACCTCATATTTTGCTAAATATTTCATTTGCTTACGCTCTCTTAGGCATTATTTATTCATAGAAGCCCTTGTTTTATTGACAGATCTTCTGGTGAGTCATTGTCGTTGTGGGTGATCTGAAGTTGCGCTCATGAAACACAATCCCATCCTCCGAACTTCTAGGGATTGCTTCCTTCAGTTGGTCCAATTGCTGACAGAGCAGGAGCAGCCCATAGAAGATAATTCCTCTACAATACCGCCAAACACACAACAAAACCTTCTTGACCGTCAATCTGGTTTAATGCCCTTAAACCACGACCACGACGTTTTCATTTTACGGGGACTAAAGTTCCACTTTTCATCACCTATCATCCTCCGCTTCAGAAATGGGTCGATTTTGTTACGATTCAGTAGCGAATCGCCGAAGGAAAATCGGTCCATTAGGTTTTTTCACGTTATCCCATGTATCACCCTTACATCGATCTTCTTTGCATATTTAGCCTATTTCAAGTGCTTAAAAACTGTTTTTAGTGATTGTTTAACTCCTGAGCAATCGGAACAGTTTTCGCATGTCGGTCAGACTCGACGATTTTCATTATTTTATCGACATTTTCGATAACCAAAATTATGCATGACTCACTGTTACAGTATCAGGACCTAAGAAGTGTTCACATTTTTAGCTGCCTGACTTTTGTTTTTGCTGCTGTTTTAAAATACAGATTTTTCTATTTTTCCTGGTATTTCTGGTGTCCAACTTGACCCTACGCCCAAATACTCCTGAGTTATGTGGTTAACACTTCTCCCATTAGCATTTTTAGTACACAATACTGTCTCTCTAATTCCATCCGAGATCTGATCACTAAAGCCAAAAGGAATGGGTTATTCTTTACTAGACCTAATATTAGACGAAAGAAAAATGAAAGGACTGGAAGCACGCTTGTAATGCAAATGGCTGCCTACGAAGGAGTTGTATTTCGATAATTTCTTCAGAAAGAAGCCTTGATGAAACTGGCAACAACTCTCTTCCGATAAGCCAGAGAGTATGTGGCAGTTTTTCAGTACAAATATATTTTATACATATTTTTCCAAATAAGATTTTTTATTTTTTTTTTCGAGTAAAATATAAGAGAGATTGCAGAAATTATACAAAAACCTTGAAATACTGAAAAATCTCGCAAAGCTGAATGGGAATCACCGGAACTATCCTTCCTGCCATGGAAAAACGTTTTATTCTTTGTTTTCTGGGTCAATGGTAAATTCCTGAATTCTTCGGTTTAAGGTTCTATAGACCAGAAGGACCTGTAAACAGAAGAGTTGGCCAACATACTTGCGATGATGAATATTTAACTTTTTTCTTAACTTTTCATCGCAAACTTTGTTGTTTTATGTACTCAAAAGCAATTACCTTTGAAATTTATTGCACACACCAATTACATTTTTATAAAAAATATGTGTAGTAAAGGAAAATTAAATCGCCTTGTTAACCTAATTTCTCAATAGTTCGCGTCTCGCTGGAAAATTAGTTTACAGTTTAAAATATTATATGTAAGTAAATCATTTCACTTATACAGTCACACACTTCTTTCCAACGACTGTTTACCAAATAAATGCGCATAACTATTTATTTCAGGTTGTGATTTTTGGCGCTTTGCCGTGAACTAAAAACAAAATAAATTTAAAAAAAAGCAACAACAAAAATGCCGACAAATGAAGAGTGCAAGATTGTCGCTGACACAGAAATTGCAGAAAGAAATAAATAAAGAAATAATTGAGAGATGCGTTGGCTTACGAATATTTTCATGTCCATACACACATACATACATACACGTACATACTTCAAATTCAACAAAAATAAATACAAACTGCATATGTCAAGTAAAACTACAATAATAATAACAAACAAATATTTAAAACAACGAATTCGAGCAAAATGCACTGCATAACAAAAACGATTGCATAATTTAGTGAGTGTGAGTAAGTGAAGTACCTGTTTGTACTCGCAGACTGAGAGAGTGCGCATATATGAGTGTGTAGGGAGTACATTTCCACACACATACTCGCATATGGTACATAAACGCCCGCTACCGCGAAATAGCGCAATAAATGGCATTTAGCCTGATTTAATGCCGCAACTCATGGCGACGCGCAGTAACAATTGCGATGGCGGTGACGGCTAAAAGGCCTACCAACGTGTTTATTTTTATGTTCACATGTACTTGTGTGTATGTAAACGTCTACATAATATTTGTTGAAAACACCGAAAGCATATTTTTTCAATTATTTTTTAATTTTCCCCTTTTTCATGCTTCAGCACTGAAAGGGAAATTTGCTGGCGATTTCGCCATTTAACTTATTTTCCACAATTTTCCTCTAACTCGAATGACTATTTTATTCTTCATTATTTCCCATTTATGTACATACATGTATGCACCGTTAAAACCGCCATGAAGTGACATAACATTTAGACAAATTATGGCAACAAATGAACTCGCTTCAAGTGTTAAGTGCTTTAAAACGCTTTTGGTCAACAATAAAGCGTGCAATGGTTTTCACATTTTTTCTATTTGTTGTTTTTTTCGTTTTCTCATTTGGTCTGCTAACTCACAGTAACTGCAGTGTTGTTAACTCCAACAAAGCCTCGAGTGACCTTGAAATGTCTAAAACTGAATGTGGTGTTGACAATTGGTTGATCGGTCAAATGGGTGGGTGTGATGATTAATGGGTTAATAGTAGGTTATGGTGAGGCGCGTTAGCGTGTTAGCGCAATTCTTTGACTGTAATTGTAGCAACAATTACATAACAATAATATTCAATGTCATTTGGTGGTTGACGTGAATACTTTGAGCCATTTATGCCCTAAAGCGAGTGGGAAAATATGAATTGCCCTCCTGCTTGCAAGATTGAGTCAGCCAGAAGTATATTGCGAATATTCAATGCGATCCGTAGCGATTTCCCTATAGATTGACTTGAAGAAAATCTGAAATTATAATGATATCTCTAATCCCCGTAGGCTCTCAAGTCCCAATCCAACCAACGTCCAAAATTACTAAATTACTGATATAAATTTTTAAAGTTTTCCCACTTTGTACTGGGGATTCAAGCCTTCCTTTCCGCATGAAATACCTTCGGACGTTCGGTGCCTCCAGACCACAAATTGGAAGAGGAGCTCGGCCGAAAATCACTTCGTCGGTTACAAAGCGCTAATTATCCACCAAAAAAAAGAGGATCGACTTCTTGCTCTTGAATATTGAAAATAATCCCGAAGCAGCTAAAACCAAACTCTACCACAGTACATTAATTAACGAAGACAATATAGAATAAAGGGTCTGCCCATAGTTTTGAACTCATTTGACGAAGATCAGTAGTCCCAGCATTAAGTGGACAACAAAGCGAGGGTGCTCACAAAGTGCACTCTGAAATGATCTTTGGAGCTGAGTGCAAAGGAATCGCTACAAACTCTCCCTGTTACAGCAGAGTGGAAGCCGAGCGGAGGCGAGAGTAAGGCTGGGAGATACGATGAAACCAGTATCGTTGAGGCTCGTTAAATATTGTAGTTGTAGTGAATAGAAAAGCAATACGGACATATGCTTGAGCGCCCACAATAATTGCAACTTACAACAAATATAATCTGGTGTAAACATGGCATTTTTGAGGAAGGAAATCTCAATTAGAGATTTGTAATTAAATTAACCGTTACAATTGTACGCTTTATATATTTTCATTTACAAAAATTTCGATAAAAAAAATCTTTCTTTTGCCTTTGTAGTTTGAAGAAGCTACTCAATACTTTACTCTCCCAATGGAGTAGCCAATGCTCTCCCAAACTCTGCCTACTGATTTGGTATCCCAATTACCAATTAGCTCTTTAAAAGCATACAAACACATACAATTTTCTTCATATTTTCGCTGATGTTCGCTACTTCCTCGTAATTAATACATACATATAGCGAGTCTAATTCATATGTGTATTTGTATGTGATTGTTTATGAATTTTTATGGTTTCTCAGTTGAAGAAAACTACACACCGGTAGTCGGTCTTTTATTTTACTCATGTACATATGTATGTATGTCTACATTCACTTCATTACCGATGTGGCGCTCATTTTATAATGCTCATAAAACAACAGCAACAGCAACAGCAACAACGACCAAGCGAAAAATACGATATCGCAATCGCAAAGTTTACATTTCACTTTCGATTTCGTTGGCGGTTGCGTGACTGTGATGGTTAGCATGGCGGCTGCGCGGCGTGTAGAGGGAAAGCTGGCAGGTGAGCGTAGTGAGCCATACCGCGCAGTTAGGATGGCCAAGGTAAATATGAGGTATGTGCAATAACCATTCGTGCCTGTGGGTGTGTGCGTGAGATATTCATTTCGTTGCATTTTTTACACTTAAAAGAGATATTCGGTAACTTAGTATCACAATTTCTCAGTTGAGATGTATTTTGCGTTACACTTTTTTCCTTTTGTGATTTTTATTTCAATACTTCATGCCTGAGCGATCAATTCACTGCAAAGCTCAGCGCCAAATTAACTCTCGGCAGGCTGCATATGACAGCATGCGTGCTTGTTTGTATATGTGTGTGTGCTTGCTTTAGAAACACTCATATGTGATTTAAATTTGGTGTTTCGATTTTGAAACTTTGCACGACACTGTTATTAATCGTTTTGACTTGAACGCGCGTGGCTCGTGTCGGGACAATATTCGTGCAGCGCAAACGCAGGCGAAAATAAAGCGAAATAATATAAATGTATAGGGAACAGGTGTAAATCGCAGGGCAAAATAGAAAAACTGTTTTGTTTGAAAAAAAGAAAAAAAAAACAAAAAATGAGGAAAATGTCAAACGAAAATTGCATGAAGTAAACGAAATTTCTTTTCCAACGGTGGTAGAGTTCTTCAATATCATAAAAATAGAGTCTTCAGCTTTATCTCATTCACAAAATATGTTTAACTAAGCTGCGCTCATAAAGACATTAACTCGGCTACAAATACATTTTTTGAAAGTTTTTCCTTGGTGCGCTTCTTTCCGCTTAGTTTTATATGAAATTGCATTATTATGCAAGTGACGCATACCAAAAAAGCAACAACAACAACAACAACAACAACAATGCAGAGAAGTGTAGATTAAATGGCAATAAATAACTACAAAAAGTGAAGAATAAGCAAAAAATACACACAAAATTAAATGAAAAATAATAACAAGCGACCAAAGCAAAATACCAAAAAACAAAAGTTGTTTAATCGATTTTGAGATTTGTTATTAATGTGTAAAAAAAATTAAATCCGAGTGCAAGTAAATTTGTTTACTCTTTTACATTAAGTGAAAAGTGTGTGAAAAATGTGTTGATATCTTGCAAAAAAAAAACTTTAAACAACCGTTAGACGACTTAAAAACTATCGCTTCCACAGAAAATAATACCGTGTCTACCGAAAATTGATTGTTCTGCTCGAAATATGTTGCCAGGATTCGTGTGCAATTCTCTCACTGTGAATTTTAAAAAATTCTCTTTGAAAATATTTACGCTTTTATTCATAGTGAATTGCATGGCTTTCATATCAAGTGCTGAAAAAAATTATAACAGTGTTTACAATGAAGTTGTCACGCCGGATTTGAAACAAGCAATCAAAAAGGAGCTACCGAAAGAAGCGAAATTCTTCGATGAACTGGATTGTAAGTTTAATATAAATTTTGCCCCTTCTCTTTCTCAAAGGGTCTTTAAAAAGTCAAATACGTAGTTGAATTTTATGAAGCAATAAAACCCATGTGATCTCTCTTATTACGTCTTAACTTCGTTTACTTTATATATGGAAAGTACCTTGTGAGTCTAGTTGGGGTAGCCCTTCGGCAAGGAATGTTCGAGTGTATTTATGACATGAAATAAAGGCTTCCCATAAGAAACCATCAGCCTTTCGGAGGCGACTTAGAATAAACTGTAGGTCTCTCCATTTGTTGAAAAAACATCAAGACGCAAAACCACAAATTGGAGTAGCAGCACGGGGAAAATTGCTGCAGCGGTCACAAAGTGCCAATTATATATACCTTAAGAGTCCTTGGTATTTCCTTAATGAAGTCACTATCGAAATATTGTAGATTACAGCTATAGGAAGCCTAATTATATTGCGGTAGATAGGTGGCGCTATGAAAATGGAATATAAGCAACTTGGCTTTTTTCAAATAAAATTATCTGAAATTGTGGAAAACATGTAGTTCAGCAGTCTCTTTTTCACTGGGACATACCTCGTCCATAAATAAAAGATATCCAAGGTAAAATAAAAAAATAACTAAAATTTGAGTATAAATTAATAGCGGATCAATAATGAGTCAACCAAATGACATTTACAACAAATCTCTACAGCAAAAGTATAAATGGAACCATGGCTCAATTGACCTTGATCTTCAATAAAAAAACTGCTTTGGCTCATTGAGTTGTTAACAATTACATAATATACCACAAAGACTTACATATATGGCGTATGCATGTATTGTTTTGAGGTTTCACGATGTACAGTTGTATATATACGCTTGTATACCTCAAACGAGTTTGTGTTTGTCGGTAGATAACCATATGCGGTGACAGTTGCTTGTGTAATTCTTTCCTTTAAAGGGTGGGGAAAGTCCGTGCATGGTTAGGTTAAAAGCAAAAATATTAAGAAACAATTTTATTTCTCAATTTATTTACTTATTTTTGTTGTTTTCCTTCAAGGTCCCGAATTCAAGTGAATTTTATTATTTACAGATTAACGTCATAGGTGGGTATGAGCCTGAAAGGTTGTCTGCTTTCTTAGTTCTTACATTAAGCTATTTGTGTTAGTGAACGAATTGTAAAATTTCGAAAACAAAACTTGCAGTGAAAGTATTTTTTTGTAATATTCATTTATTCTTATTTAAAGAATAAACGAAGAAATAATTCAATCTGGCAGTGTATATCAAACAAGCACCCAGCATTAAAGTAGCAATTAAAATTTTAATAAACAAGCAACGCATGAGTAACATTTTTCGTGATAATGAAAGTGAAAATCCAGAAAGATGAGTTCATCATTTGCGGCCATTGAAGTTTTGCTCGTTGATTATATTCCGCTTTCACTCAACAACTTAAGAACTAAGAAGCCTACATTTTATTTGAATAAAATTAATTAGTTTTACCATTTATAAAACCATTTGCTACATCTTTTGTATAGTCTCGTTAGCCGTGGGACAAAATTAGAATGTACAGAAAATGTTAAAGAGAAAGAGTCATTAGGATCGAATCCCTGCCCTGATGATAAAGAACAATTGTTAAAAATCTTCTGCTGCGAATGTGAACTGATGTCAAATATAAAATTCCTCATAAAAAACCACCAATTCTTCTAGACGCTGTGTATCTGTGCTTGTTTGTCTGTCCACGATTAATGGCAACTTTATTAAGCCTTTTTTTATTTTTTGTTCTTACTAACATCTTCTTCTTCAACTATCTTCCCCAAGACGTTCATATCTTCGAGATCGTCGATCACTACGCCCACCCATCTTTTCTTTGGACTGCCCCCGATTCGCTTTAAATATGGATATTTTTTGAAGGCCTTTCTTGGTGCTCATTGGTTTGGAATTCATGAAAACATGCCCAAGCCACGACATTCGCTGGGATTTTATGAGTTTTATGATCTTTTGGTGACTATATGATTGACGTCAGACGCTATTGTCCAAACTTCACGACCGTATGTCAGGAGTGGACGCAGGAGTTCTTTATACTTATACATACATAGCTTTTGCTTTCTCGACAAAAGGTACGCCGAATCTCGCCATTTGCTGTATGCGGCCTGTCGTGTAATTGCTGTGTCATCCTTAGCAATATATAACACCCTAAGCTCCTTAAACTCTTCTAAAGCTCCAAAAAATTCGCTGGCGTATTTCTTGATTTGTTCTTTGGTGGTTAATGTTGCAAAATTTCTTGCTCTTCTGACTATGTCTTCTACGTACATACATACACATCTAGTTGGGGGATAATCTCCCGCCTTATTAACAGTGTCTTTATAAAATAGTTTCAAAATTATATACGCACAAGCAATTACCAAAATGCCGGAACTCAGCCATAACAACGGTTTTCGCACTTAAACAACAAGAAACGTCGAATAATTGATGAAAACGCCAAAGCAGTTGTGCACGCGAAAATTCCTCATAAATCCATTATTTCCCATTTACAAACAGTTTTTATGACGCACGCGTTAGTTCGTTCATTGCAAACTCAATGCTGCTTTTCCTTCAGAGTTTTCCGTTTTTTTTTGTCTGTTTTTTGTTTATAATTTTTATTACTTTGCAATATCATAAGCTCTTTTACCGTAAATTAAAAAGTAAGTCTCCTGTTGCCTCGCAGCGACCGGAGCGAAACGAGTTATAAATAATATTAGTCTTTAAAGCGCGCCACCAACAACAAAAACAACTTGGAAAAACAGCACGCATTGAAAAGAAAAGAAAATTGGGATAATAAAAGCGCTTTTGCAAGTTCAATGCCATGCAACGGGCAATTTTTGAGAAAAGGAAAAGAAAAATCAGAGAAAATCCAAATGCAAAGAAAACGCACCGCAAATAAGCGAGTTTATCAAGGAAAACCGGCGTTGCAAGACACGAAGCTAACTAAACTATTGCTCAGGCAGAGTGACAGCAACAACAATGACAACAGCAAGCACTAGCGGCAGGCAGTTGTGACATGTGACGGCAGCAAAGGCAATTTGAGACTAAAAATCGGTCGCTCCTCGCTTATGCGCAGGAAAATGAAGCGAATGTGGAAATGCTTTGCGACATGTTGCAACAGCGACTGGTGTGTCCACATATGTATTGTACAGCCAATAATGGTTTACAGCAGCATTTGTCACTTTTAACAACTAACTCATTGCAATAAATGTGTGCTTGTTGTTTTTGCAATTGGTATGTATTTCAATTCAGGCTTTTATTCATTTTTCACGTATTCTGTGCGTTTGTTGACATGTCGTGCCGCATTTCATTCATGCTTTTCGCGAGCGGCAAACAGTAAGCCGTCTTCTGGTTACAAATTGATGTGAACATTAATAATAAAAAGACAGTAAAATAATTGCTTGGGTTTCCGATTATATTTTTATTTGCTGCAAATGATGGAATTTGCCCCCAACAGCTGATTAAGTGTTATGTCAACAGTTGAAAATATTACTGTAAACAACTTACGCGTTGTCATCAGTTCTCAGCAGTTCATATGGAAAGGTCCCTATTGGTGTCTTGGCTTTACAAAAGAGTTGTGAGAAACGAGTACAGAGCACTAACATATAATAAGACGCTGGAAGTCATCCTTAACTTCAGGCCAATCAATCCACAAGTGATGTATGAAGCAGCGCTAACTGCCAGGCGCTTTAAATTGCTTTACAGGGTACAGTCTTCTAGTTGTTAAGTTCACAGGAGCACACAGAAACTTACAGGGAAACCCCGGCTACACTTTCAATTCGATTAAGAAAAGAAACTCTCCGCCTCAAACCCCTTCTTTAATGGCGAAGAATGTTCGGAAAGCAAGACTAACGATAATAGTAAAGAAACACATATCATACACGTCTGCAGTGATCGATCTAAAAGCGAGGCAGGGACAATAGCAGATCTTCTTCCAGACTGCCCAAAATCAAAGACAGCTCCAAACTCAATAACCACAACTCTATCTTCCAACCGGAAATTGTAACGACAATTAGTGCCAGTAAGTGTATAAACACAAAGTCCAAAGGCGTTAGATTTTCGTATGAAATCACAATGACTCAAGCTGGTGCCGCTGGCGAAGTTGTTGTCTAAAGTATTACGCCAAGTAGAGTCATTTAAGGTCTTGGAGGTCTTTCTTAGTGCAATGAACGACTTAATTATTGTGTTGTATCGAGGATTGCAGATAGTCTAACCCTTACTTGCATTAGAAAAATAGAACTTAATATTTTTGTGGGTGTATTGACTGGACATCTAATCGATTTTGGATATATATACATATAAACAGAGGATGACAAAACAAAACGATACCTTTGTGACTGTCATATGAATATTTAACGGTGTTTACAACTCCTGCCCCACGGAGGTGGGCACGCATGATTAGAAGAAATTAAAACAATGCATCGAGTCGAACCAATTGAGTCCACTCACTTTCTCCATCTGGGATAGGTTAGGCTGAATTGATTAGTCAGCATCTAATATATTTAAGCCTTGCTCACAACTCAATTTATTTTACGATCATTCAACCCTCACCCCTTCAGAAATTTATTTATTTATTATAAATATAAATGCTAAAATCGAAACGAATTCTTTGCCGGAGAAAACTTTTATTTAATGTTAAATATTTTAATGACTACACCTTTCGCTCAAGGCACGTAACTAAATATAAACGTTTAAGTGCAAAAACAAAGACTAGATAAATGGCCACCGTGTATTAATATCAGAAAAACTGAAAGCTAATTAATGCCTGATGGCGGGACCAGCGCACAATTTTGCTCTTGGCAAAAATAGAAAAAAGGTCACCAATGACAAATTACAAGCAAAAGTAGTAGCTGAAAGTACTACATACTCGTGGTACATAACAGATAAAACAACCGATGAGTAGATAAAGATTCCGCATGGTAATTAAGTAGCGACAAAAAAGCTTTAATGCCAAAAATAAAAATACACAAAAATTTACAATTTTTTTGATGAAATCCAAAAAATATGGAAAAAGCAAAAGGAAAGAAAATAAATTATGCTAACAGCAAAATAAAATGCACTGAACACGAAGAAATGAGCGAAAAGAGCTTTTGGCGAAATGCCAGCCAAACGTCAAACAAAACAGATAAAAAAAAGTAAATTCGGCGCCTGCAATTCAATTACTCAATATGCATAAAAGAAAACATTAACGCCACCAAGTTCAACCGAAAAGTGAAGTTGCACCTCGATTTACATGAATTTCGCGGCAAGTGAGCTTTTTCCCATCAACTGGCGATGTGTGAGAGACAAGAAACAAAAGACTGAAGCAACAAACTTCAATGGCTTAACACAATAAATACAGCCGAAATGTCGTGATATAACAGCGCTGAGTGGCAATTGAGAGCCCGCCATGCTGCCTTGACTACAAATTTGAAGCTTTTGAGTGATTTAAGGCTAGCTCTTACTTACATTCGATCACTGAGGTCTGCTAAGACACCTTGTTCAAACGCAAGAAATGCAAAGAAATTGAGTTGCTTATTTCATTTGCTTCTTTAGACTGTCTTCATTTGCCTGTCTTCTGTTACCTTGTGCTTTGACTCATTTTTTTACAAACTTTCTGTTGAGGTAAATGCTGCTTTTGTTTTGTGGCAAGGCAATTTAGCTGCCTCGCGGACGTGCTTTGAGCTTGCACTTATTTAGTTCTGACTTGAATCTTCTGCTGTACGGTTATTGCGTTTACGCGAAACGTGACAAAGTGGTTGTGGCATAAGTAACGGCAAATTGATTTGTGAACAAAACTGAAAAGAAACAAGAAGAAAAATTTCATTGAAAATAACCTTCCGTAAACAAAATTTAATTTGATTTCAAAAGTGAAAATTTTAAAAACACACAAAGTGTGAAGTCGAAAGGACAAATCTTTCAATATTTCCCAAAGGACTGGTGACATCATAATAACTTAAAATATAACTTAAATAGCATAAATAAATATTAAAAATTCAAAAACCTCAGTTTTTCTGAATAAAAGTTTATGAAATATACCAAAAAGAAAGTTTCAGTGTAATTACAAAGTGTTGTAATTGTAATACTGTATTGCCACAATGCGCAGCCGCATGCCACTTTGGTAGACATTGCCACCACTTTTGCTTTCGACGTGCAAATAGCAAACGATCGTGCGTGTGTGTGCTCAGTGTTTTTCCACTTTGCTGTTGAAGCGACGGCAAAGAAAGTGAAAGTCCTCGCTACGCAGGAATTTCAAGCAGCAACACAGCTTCAAATGCTCGCTTTTTATACTTGAATAAAACAAATATAAAATAGAAAGAAAATAAATATATAAAAATTCCATTTCAAACAAAAGTGCTGAAATTTTATTTGAAAATATCTATGCTGTGCAGTGTTGTGTTTTGTTGTGAAAAATAAATTTCAAATATGCCAAAAATCACCCGCCGGAAACGCTCTGCCAAAAAGGATACGTGGCTTCGAATATTTGAGATTTTATCGGTTTTTACCATTCTCATTTGCGCCGTCAGCTCTACAGCCAGCCCCAGTCCAGCACAAGAGCATGACATGCTCATATTGGATGCGCTGTCAAGGCGCAGCAGCAGCGGTGGCGGCGGCGGTTACTATAGCGAGGGTTCCGTCATGGAAATGCTATCGAGAAGTAGATAAACTCAATGAACTTCACATGATTTAATTTTTAAAACTAACTATACGCTTCTATCACAAAGTCCTACTCTTGCACCGCTTGAAGTTCTAAGGAATCGACTTTCGTGATCCTTTTCATTTAAGGACTTATTTTCCCGTTATTATATATATTTTTCCTTCCAAACGGAATATTTTTTCAAACATAATTAATTGTCTCATTCGTTAAGCTTTTGTTTTTCATTATAACTGTTATTGGCTGTTCAATTAAAAACCAAGCTGATTTCGTCCATAAATTTGCTAATTCATTCATATTTAAAAATATGTGGTTAGATGAGTGGAGGTCAAAAAAGTTTGTAATTGAAAAAGTAAGATCATTATGCTTCTCTCATAGAAACCCTTGTCCGAATTTTCACAGGCCAATCGATTCGTCATTGACACGAACTGATGGTAATCACTTGGCGTGGAGTCCTAACCAAAAAGGGTAGCTTCTGCCGCGTCATTTTGATTTGTGTATTCTGGCCCTGTCCTCATGAAACGTAATTCTCCTCTTATAGACCAAAGCTGAGCACTGAAAATGCAGGTCCGAATAAAAGTTTGTAAGGGCGTAAGGGAGCAGATCATTGCCAATTCAACCAAGACAGACAACCAAATCTTTATGTGCATAAATCTTGGTATGTAGACCATTCGCCCGCTTCACTGCCCTACGACCGCTTTCATTCGAAGATGCTTAAAGATCCACGATTTATCAGCAGTCACCATCCGCTTCAGAAATGGGTCGGTTTTATTACGATACAGCAGTGATTCTTAGAAGGAAATGCGGTAGTTCGGGTTTTTGCTGGGTACCTCAGGTGACACTGAACTCCTTCGAGTGGTTTCAAACTGTTTTTCCGCAATGTTAAGCTGCTGGTCAGATTCTAGGATTTTCAATATTTTGAAAATTGGCATTTCACACCGTAGAGCATCTTATGCATTAAAATTACCGTTAGGAGTGGAAAAAATATATATTAGTTCCTGTAACCGTCAGGTCTTTATACCCGAAAAACCTGGATTATTATACGGCCAAAGACTATCCCGTAACATTTCACAGCAACTACTTTGGGGAACATTTTTTATCCTACAACAACAAATACAGTATTTTAATTGAATTGCCATACATTTCACCTTCTTTATTAAAAGTCGCCTGTTAAATGAGTCAATGTGTAGAGCTCATGTACTTTGCTCCAACAAGGCAACACCCGGTCAATAAAAGCTGAGCTGAAATTGTCACTTTTCACGGACATAACTTGGAGTTAACTATTCACTTACCCTGTAGTAGAAATTTGATATGGCAATGTGGAAATTTCCAATGGTACTGAAGTGAGAAGATTTTCATCTCATGATTTTGGCTTATTATGAGGCATTAAGGTTCTAGATTTTTTTTTCGAGATTCAGAACTAAATACACCTCTCAACTAAGTGTAATCAGCTTAAGGGAGGAAAAATATTTCTGTTTCACTTGCATCCCATCTTAATCACTAATATAATTGATCCAATATGAAATGTAATTGAATTCTCTACTGTCTTGGCCGTCAAAAGTCACAAGTAAATTGTTTCCAACGAAATTTCATGCTTTCCTTAACTCTATTGTAACAAAGTTGCCGTAAATATGGCACATGTGTCATAGATAATTCAATAAAGGGTGACACCGAAAATCCCAATAAAATTGCAAAAACAAAATAATAATTTCAGGAGGCAAAATCTTAAGTAGACTTTACGTAGAATTACAATGCAGAGTTTTTATTTTTTATAATAAGTTCAAAATCTACTTCTTCGAAGTGCTCATATTTTCAATTTATCTTACAGAATTCTTACTAATAAAAACTTATTTCTTAGTTCTTTTAAGCTCTAACCATAAAGCAGCACTTTTCTAAAAATATCTTTAAAATATTTCATTTTCGAACGGACGGAATCGGATATAAAATTTAGGAGAACGCTTAAATTATTTCTCACAAAAACACATAAAGTTAAACCTGAAAAAACCTACGCGTTTAGTTAAGAGCTCTTCAGTATTTACAAATTAATTAAAAAATTAACAAACGAAAATTGCATACTTTTTAAAAACTGTACTCAATTCCAAATTTAAAGTTTTAAAATAATTTCTCTAATTAAAATTTATTTATTCAAATAAGATTTTTAATTAATTGCAAACACAATAAACTTAAAAAGTAATTACAGTTCTGTTAAATCACCCTGTTTGAATACCCATGCACATATGCATATGTAGGTGAACTAACCGTCAGCACCATCATATGCGATTTTCAGTTATTGTTGTTGTTGCTGTCTTATTTTCCATCACACTGCAATAAGATGTCTTAATAAAATGATTTCATTTCCACGCAATTTTTTAAGCTTTCCTATTATTCATAATTTTTGCGCATCAACTCTTTCACTACATACAATACATAAACATATACACACACACACACACATTTATAAAGACATATCACAAGCCATCATAAATTCATGTATGCACACATATACACTCACCCAAACAACTTTATTACTTTTATTTCACTTTATACTGTTTTAATTTCTATTAACAAATTTTACTTCTTTTCCTTCTTCTCCTTTTCTCTCAACTTTCTTGATTTTCCTTTCCAGTGATTCCGCAAACTTGCCGCTTTCGTGGACACAAATTCGAATGCGGTCTCTCCATTTCGTGTGTGTTGGGCGGCGGTAAGCCGCTTGACCTCTGCTCGGGCGGCATGATCTGGTCGTGCTGTGTGGACAAAGACCTCGAATCCGAAGATACGCATGCAGGTCAAGTGAATAACACAAGTGAGTACAAAGTTAGGGGGGGGAGCCAGCAGATTATAAGGCAACTGAAGAAAGCATAAATGAAAACAAATATAAAGCTCAGTAATAATTTTCTTCTAAAAATGGTTAGTCGGGCACAAAGTAAAGCAAATGCAATTTTAAAACGCTGCCGCAAACATTCTCAGTCTACAAATGCACTTGTCCGCTATATATGTGTGTATATACTCAAAAATTAAGCTTGCTAAAATGCTATAATAGCCGAAGAATTGCGCTTATGTAATATCGCTGAATAATTTTGTTGAATAATTTTACGCAATATAAATTTAATTCAGTTTGGTTTGGTTCAGCTCAGTGTTGCAGCGCAGTTTCGAAAATGACAACTGTTGCAGCAAGCAATTACTTATGCACATACAAAGGTACGTAGGCACTTGAGTGCGGTGGTTCAATGTAGGCTTGTGTGCAACATGCAACGTTCGCTGCGCTTTTCAAGTTGTTCAAATGCGAGCATATGTACGGAGGCTTGTTTGAAGGTAGCTGTGGGTGCTTGAACTGCGCATCGTCTTCGGCAGGCAGTGGTGCACAAACGCTTGTATTGTCTTGTATTGTCACGAGTACAGCCTAAGCTTATGTGCTGGGCGGGTTATAAAAACTGTTATAGAAAATGAAAACTGGGTCCAGCCGTTTGCCATAAAATATGCGATCGGTCAAATATAACGGGTGGGCTATATATATACATGTATATATATACTCGCATATATAAATGAGTCTACTAATAAATGTACTGGTCGTGCAGTCGAAAATGCATTTCAATTTGATCATTATTTTTTATACTAAAAATCAAAAAAAAATAAAAAAAAAATAAGTTAGTTGACTTTTGAATAAAAATTGCAAAATGTAACTATTTTCTATTTATATTATTTAAATTAAATTAAGAAATTGTTAAAGATTCTTTCTTAAACCTATACATAGTCATCCGTTTCATGGTTTCAGAGTAGAGGGCTGTATTTTGGCATTTTGGCTTACAGATATTGTAAAGCCTCAACGAAATAAAAGCGATAATCAAAGCGGTGGCGGCGATTTTTCGACTCGATTTTAGAACTGTAGACTTCTTTTCTTAGGTAGCGTAATAAGCTGTTGAGCTTTTAGCTCTTGAGCACCTAAAAACTAACATTCGTCAAGCTATCGCTGAGACACAGCCCAAAATATGTGCCAAAAAGTGGTCGAAAAATACTCTTTGCTCTGCTTTTACCGGCGGTTACTGCACCCAAAACTCTCAAAGCTGGAGTATTCTTATCCATCCCGACCACATGATCTCGTCAACGTGGCCGCTGTTTCTTGATTCACTGAACTAAGTCAATGTCGCCGTATATCTGATTTTCGTTCGTTAAGATTCTTTCACTTCACTCAGTCCGAAGGAGGACCTATAGGGAAGAATGATTCTGAGTAGGATTTCCAGGCTGACATTGTTGTTGGTGTTAATGCTCATCGCTAGATAGAAGAAATTATCTAGGACCTCGAAGTTGTGAGTGTCAACAGTAATGTGGGAGTCAAGTCGCGAATGCGATGACTGTTTGTGTGACGACAGGACATATTTTGTGTTGCTCTCCTTCGCTACTATACCCATATCTTCCGCATAAATACTGCATAATTTATTTACCTTTTTATTAAAACTTCAACCGTTATGATCCCTGCCAATAACTGAGTAAATTTTTAAGATAATCTGTGCTTAGTACTGAAATAAGTCCCTTCTTTCGCAAAAAAAAGAGCTCAAATTCGGTAAAAATTACAAACAGTAATTCTTTTCTCAACTATTTAAAGGGTAAAAACAATAATTAAAAGGATAAATAAAAATAAATTTATTATTGAAATTAGAAAAATTTTTAAAAAGCTTAAAAAAGTATCAGCAAGTTGATTAATAATATAAATACGAGTATGTAATTGTGTCCATTTTTCGGCAAAATGCAACTCAAACCATGTTTGAGAGCCCCTGTCGATAGAGCTCCAAATAATCAGCTGAATGCCGCCTACAGGTCACAGCTAGCCAGCGCAAATATTCAAAGGCTATACAACGAAATTTTAGTTTTTATTTTTATTTATTTATTTTTTGTTTTGCAACATCTCCTCCATGTGTTAAGCCCAAAACTCCTCATGCCACCTACCTGCATTGAACACAAGAGGGGCAAAAAAAAAAGAATAAAATGTTAAATATATCAATATATACGAAGAGCGAGCGTGACTGGTAAACAAAAGCAATGGTAAATAAAATACAAGCATTAAACCAGCGCGCATATTGACGTTTTGCTCTGATAACTCCACACATTGCTCTTAAACATGTGTTTTTGTTTAGCTTTATAGCGTTTACCTTTTTTTACTCTTATATGTATATTCATTACACTTTTCACTTAATTTCCCGATTGCTTTTTATTTTTATTGCTCGATGCGCCTGCGCATACATTTTCCCATAACAAATTTCCACTTTTGGCCAGGCCGATTCCAGGTTTCTTGATTTTGCTTACTTCTTAGCAGTATTTCTTGGTTTTAGTCAAATTAACTTTCGTTGTTGGTGTAAAACTAGTGTAAAACTAGTGTAGTGTTCAAATATTGATTAAAGAAAATGAAATTAAATGAATTCTCATAATTTGGAAAAAGAGAGAATATTTATGTTTGTCGATATGATGTTAACCAAAAACTGCACAAAGAGCGGGAGAGGTTTTTTCATAATTTTCATTCCCTCCCTTACGTTCTTTAGTAACTGTTTTTTTTTCGTTTTGCTACTTTTTTTGTCGGTGGGAGTGATTTAATTTTGTATTACAACGCCAACGGTTTCTTCTAAAATACCAGCACGTCGATTCATGCATATTTTCCACAGCAAATATAACAGTACAGGGGCGCCACAATAAACTGGGGCACATTTCATTTTTGCTTTAGTTTTGGTATTGTTTTTATTTTACAACATTAATCTTGTGGCTTAATCTTTGAATTTCACTTTCTTCGTCAACGACTTTGCCATTTCCGGTAAACACAGGCTTACATGTATATGTATATGTTCACGTAGGTATGTGTATGAACTTTAGAGTTTTCTGGGAGTTTTCGCTTTTATGATGATATTTTCTACATATTTTTCGTGAATATGTAACCACATAGAGACAAAAGCCGTTAAATGAACGAAATATGGGAAAATGAAAATGAAATTAAAAAGTGTAAACGTAAAATTAAAAACAAAAACAAGAAGGAGATGGGCAAGGTGGCAAGTCGAATTATAATAATAAACATGTGTGGAGACCTCAATGAAATTGTCTGCCGCGCTGAAGTGCAAACTTGTAACTCTGACTCCGCCATGTAGTAATAAATTTGAAATAAAAAATTAAAAATCTAAAAACATGAAATTAAAAACAACATCAACAACAGCTGCAAAAGGCATTTCGACCATAAATTGAGTTTAACTCGAACTAAAAATGAATAAACAAAAAGAAAATTAGGAAAAAGTGAAAATTAAGTATTTTTTTTTTTTTGAGAAATTAATTTTTAAATAAAAAAAATTTAATCTTAATATATACATATATATGCATAGTTGAGATACCCTGGGGAGACTACTCAATGGCCTAACTTCTGGCGCTTGCAGTCTGGTAATCAAAATCGCTCTTAACACCAACCAAGCAACTTTATAGAAACTTAGACGTTTTTAGCAATTAAATTAATATTTGCCTTAAGGAATTTTTTTTTTCAGTTTTTTTTTTTAATTTTTATTTTGTGTTGCCCTTAAAATTATGATAAACGAGTACTCTCCCCGTAATGATAAGGCTTTCAGTAGTACTCAACAGCGGCCAAAAAATTGCAATTATAAAAGAGATTTTGTCTTACTTGCCTTGTTATGTCACTTATCATCCCATTACGAGTTATATGTATGCAATTTCACACGTTTCACGTCCATTAAAATGACCAACATCTTTTTGAGTCTTCAACCGCAAATTAACACCAAAAATTCCCATCCCACACATCCAGTCACATAAGTACTCGCCCAGCCATGCCAGCTCAGGTGATGCAATGAATTGTACGAACCTCTGCCCGACTTTCCGGTGCGGTAATTTTTGTCACAATTTTCGGCTGCTACTTGTTAATTAACCTCTGAAATGGGGCGGAAGATAGTCTTTTCTTTTATTTTAATATTTATGTTTAAATTCACAACTCAAGTGCAAAAGTGAAAAGTGAATTTTTGTCTCAATGAAAACCGGTCGTTCCCAGCACTTCTTTTGTTTTAACTATTTTAGTTAATTACATGTCAGCTTTCTTATATAACTGTTACTTAATTCATTGCACAATATTAAATTGTTTACGAATTATCGCGTAAGCATATAAATAGCCGGAAGTTCGAGCTTCGCTGTCATTAATTCCTAAATTTCAGTTGACACCAACAAAATATTTTCAAAATTTTATTTATATTTATAATTTATTTCTATAGGGTTTCTCAATTTGCTTTTTCGTAAATAAAAGTAATTAAAATGCAACCAAAATAATTTTCTCAAGAAATTCCAAGTCTGAAGATGGTGTTCTGAACCGATGAGGTTACATGTCCTAAAATGTTCCTTGTCTCGATGAGAAGTTACTTCTTCTGGATCAGTATCTTGTTGATATCAGCGCAGAAGCTTATTCCATTCCACATGTGGCAAGATAGTCAACAGCGGTAATCGTTGCCTTTACTCAAAATAAAGAAACAACGCCCTGACAAGATAAAAATTCCCTACACTACCGCTGCCATGTATCTCTTCTTGAGTTGATGGTATCAAAATATTTCAGGCGTAGAAGCTTTTGAAATTTTTAAATGGGTAGAGCATCTTTCTTTGAATCCCGAAACCTGACGAGTCACTACGGATGAGTGTGGTCGGCATTGGCCACGTGAAACACAATACCTCTCCTGTTGGCCAAAGCTGGGTGCTTTTGGCGATTGCTTCCATAAGACAGTCCAAGTGCTCACAGTACAGGCCCGAATAAAGAATTTGGCAGTAGAGGAGAAGCTAAGCTTTTTATAATTTAAATTTGTCTACTTTAAATTGTTGGTATATATTATTTATATGTATATAATTCCTGTAAATATGCTTATGAATATATATGTAATAATAGCATTGAAGATTTGTATAAACTCGATACTTAACGCCTCAATCTAGGTGACATCATACACTTGCACGACATCTACCCCGACCTGGCCGGCCACAACAAACACCCCCTACACGGCGGCCTCAGCAGCAGCGCACAAACACATAGCGTGCTCAGCAGTCACGGCGCAACGCAGAGCAGCAACATACACACCACAAATATCGCATCACGACCACCACTGCACCACTACCCCACCGTCATAAACAATCACCAATACCAAGTCACCCAATCGATGTACACCACAAAGCGGCCTTACAAACCACATATCTACCGACCTGGTCACGGAGCGACCGGAATCGGCGGTGGTACAGTGGCATCGTCAAGCAGCTGGGAGCATGAGTCAAATCATCTGGGCTCGGGCATCACAAATCACTTGGACACTTTCTTCGATGTGGATCGACCGCCCGTGCATTCGGCAGAGTTGGGACCACATGAGCTGTTGCCTCATCCACAGCCGTTTGCGGTGGGAAATGTATTGGATTTGAATGCGGGCGAAGCGGCGGAAGATTACAATGGTGGCGGCGGCGGTGGCGGCGGTAGCATTTACGCAGATGGAACTACGTATCGACCAGTGCCGGGTACCAAAGCAGTTTTGATGTTTCTACAATCTACACACACTTTAGCTACTCTTTGTTTTGGGTTCTTGAGTTTCTTTGTTGTATTTTTATTATTTCGTACTCTTCATTTATCATTTTTCTTCTTTGTATGTAAATACCGTTAGCTATGCACTCGAATGCTTTTGCACTTAAATACTTATATATTTCAGACTATTTTTCATATTTTCTGACAGCTCTTCCACATATGTACGTATGTATGTATGTCTAAGCTTCAGTTTAACGGTTTGCCTGGCACTGCACTGTTTCAGTTATAATTTTTGTAATTCAAAATGTTATTTTTTCCCCCTTACATTAATCACTTTCTTCATTTCTGCTTCCCATTTCAGGCTGCGGCGAGGTGTATGCGCGCTCTAATCGCATTGTGGGCGGTCACTCGACTGGCTTCGGCTCCCATCCCTGGCAGGTGGCGCTGATCAAGAGCGGTTTCCTCTCGCGCAAGCTGAGTTGCGGTGGCGCGCTCGTCTCCAATCGATGGGTGGTCACGGCGGCGCATTGTGTAGCGACGTAAGTAAAGAGGGTATTTATAATACTTAGAGTCTGAAGTGAAATTTAAAACGCTCAAATCAAAAAGCTCACTTGCAAGAGGTAAGGGATACTCACAGGAGTTACTGACCTTCAATGGAGATGTACGTGATGTTTTTAGCTTATTCCCGGAAACGTATGACAATATAAAGAAGTGGCTTCTATTATATTAAAGTTAGGGGGAACCCATTATGCTCTAAGGAATTAAGGGTCGACATAATAGACAACATTTCCCACCTTTGCCAATTTGTATTGTTAAATATCCGACTTTGCTCTTTTTTTAGCACCGCCAACTCAAACATGAAAATCCGCCTTGGCGAATGGGATGTACGCGGGCAGGAAGAGCGACTCAATCACGAGGAGTACGGCATAGAGCGCAAGGAAGTACATCCACACTACAACCCAGCCGACTTCAAGAACGATTTAGCATTAATTCGATTGGATCGAAACGTAGTATACAAGCAACACATAATACCCGTGTGCTTACCACCGCCCGCTACAAAGCTTGTGGGTAAAATGGCCACAGTGGCTGGCTGGGGACGAACGCGGCATGGACAGAGCACAGTGCCGTCAATACTACAAGTATGAAAACTACAAAATAAAATAGCAAATTAAAATTATTTCATTTTTTATAAGGAAGTGGACGTCGAGGTACTCTCCAATGATCGCTGTCAACGTTGGTTCCGTGCTGCGGGTCGCCGTGAGGCAATACACGATGTCTTCCTTTGTGCGGGCTACAAAGAGGGTGGGCGCGACTCCTGTCAGGGTGACTCTGGTGGTCCGCTGACTTTGTCTCTGGACGGCCGTAAAACACTCATCGGTTTGGTGTCGTGGGGTATTGGCTGTGGGCGTGAACACCTGCCGGGTGTCTACACGAACATACAGAAATTTGTGCCGTGGATCAACAAAGTGATGGCCAACGATAATGCGTAGTGTCGCAGCGTAGGGCTTACACTTGCCAAAGACTGCAGTGCACTCTGATATGCCACCTGATTTGTTATTGTAATGATATTTTTACGAGTATTTGTATTTTATTGGTTTTATTTTAGAACTCTGAACTTAAAATCTCCCTGTGACTTATTAAAAGATAACGGTTTTCAAACTACAATTCTCAATTCTTAATATTTTTGTTTCAAAAGTTATTTGACATTTTTCCTCCGCCTCCATCGAACGATAATAGTGGACCTGGCACCAAGTATTTTAATAATTTATATTAAGTTAAGAACGTTTTGTACGATTTATTATTAGATAAGAATGAAAAAATAAAGAGAAATGTATGAGAATAAATCTTATGTGAAGTGTTCCCCTGCATCTGTAATTTTTTCATTTTGGACTCTCTCACCTTTGTTTGCATAAATAAAAGCAAAAATTTTTGGGTGATTTTGGAGAAAAGCTCAGTGACGAGGCAGCAGTAAGTTAATGAATATAATCTGAGGCACCGTGAAGAGTAGACTCCATTTATATGCAATATTGGGGAAGGCTTGGGTGTGCACCCCCGTAATACGTTACTGGGCGTATACCATGGTAGTAATACCTACAAATACATAGGGTGTTACGTCATTTTCAACCAAATGCTGCTCTAATAAAACTTGAAAGAGGGAAGGGGCGAGGAAAGAAAAATCGTATCAACCAGGAAAGGAACAGAAGCAGGACAATTCAAGGATTGCGGAAGGAGTCTGTATGAGGGTTACGGTCATTGAAACAAAGCTTTCAATACCTATGTGTGACTATCCTAGCATTCTCCGAGCTGATTACCTCTTACGTAGTTATCATATTCAGAAGAAAGACTGATGGTATTATCTTCATGTAGAAATAAATCGTTTATGATATGGAATCTAAGTGCAGCGGGCCCAACTGGGTATTCGAGAGAATGAAATAAATAATGAGAAGAATATCAATCGGCTCTTTGGTTAGAAATAGCATTAAACTAATCTGAAAGTAACAAAAAAAGCGAAGACCATAATTTTAACCGTTTGACCCTTCGAAGGCCATCAGAAATTATCTTGCCTTTCATTCAGTAAATTTTGTCATCAAATATTACAGTCAGTTTGAAATGTGATTATCATATTGAGCCTGAGTCGAATCTAGGTCTGCCATGCCAGAGCACAAACAAAACATCACCTCCAAAAGAGTACAACAATATAAAGGGTAACGCAATATATGAAGTGTACCGCGTGATCCTATTACCATATTTAAGGCGACCATCGAGCGGAAATCTTAGAAAAAAGCTTCTTTGGTTGGTGTTAGGTTAGGTTAGGTTAGTTTTTTTGTAGTTCCGATGGAGCTCCGTTTTACGGTGCTCTAAAGTAGGACAGCAAAGCCTTTTGCGAAGTTCAAGTGAGTCTTAATATCCAAATTTGAAACCTCTTCGAGATCTTTAAGTTGCGAAGCTCCGAAATATCTATGCCGAGTTCCAAAGGATGTGCTCTAACCTCTAATACATGCCATCCCCTTGCACTACCTGCTTGTCTCACTGCTACTAATACCAATTCGGCTTGCGTGAGTTCCGCATCGGTTGTGGCCTATCAATAAGCAGTGCTTATATCAATGTGTAAGTTAGAAATTGTTGTTGGTTTTGTGGGTCGATAATGCATTCCACCTCACTCTGATCCGACTCAACTCTTTCGAAAATTTCTTTAAAGTTCGTTTTTAGTGACTTTTGTATATCCTGCGAGACGGATGGGGGTTGGGTAATCTCTTCAACTTATCAGCTACTCAGTACATATGCAGGCGTTCCCCCGCGGCCTCTAGGTGTATTTTCAGCTGCAATACGATTTGAGTTTATTGAATCAATTCAGCAACTCTCCCCATAACTCTTGAAAAATACTTCGGTACTCTGGAAGCTTTAAGGATTATCTGAGGTCTACCTCAACGAAATATAATCCGGCGCGTATCCAGAAGCCATTTTCGATACAGTTGTATCCATCAACCTCAGTAGAGTCCAGAAAGGTGATCTAGGGACTAAGGCCTCGGTATACTGAATTTATAACGAAAGACTGCTGACTGGCAGATTTACTGGAACATGAGGAGATGGCGAGCCCACTTCTCCATCGCTGATGATAGAAAAAATGTTTATAATAGTTTTTATGGCCATACTATTAATTTTATGTTAAAAGTTTTTAGTGAACTGAAGGCCTGGTTTGTTTATACGAATCGAATATTTCGGTGGCAAAGAAGCTTCTTTGCAAATTATGGTCGGATGAAAGCACGATCCACGATTGGAACCGAACCTGGTAAAGCATTTGTCTATCTTGGAAACAGCATTAATTAACCAACTAACAAATATATCAGCTTTCAAATCGAATGCCGAATCTTTCTTAGCAACTAGTGCTAGGTGAGTAGGCGATTGAAAAGAAAACTCCTCTCTCGAAACTCTAAAAGTCACTCATCGTTCCTGTCCTGCTATGCGTTGCGGAGACATAACGTTGACAACTTTTGGTGAGTCGACATTAGGAGTATTTGAGGGAAAGGTTAAGCGTAAGGTTTGCGGCTCTTTGCGCGCTAGCAGCAGCGAATACCGCAGCCAATGGACCGATGAGCAGATTTCGTTGACATAGTTCAACGAATCAAGAGATACCGGGTACGCTGGTTATGTCATGTAGGCCGGATGAAGGAAGAAAAGACCTCGTCTCCGTTGGAAATCCTTATGGGGATTGACCTAATTATATTTGGTTTTTCAAATTGGCGCCGAACGCCGAATATAAATATACACACCAGTAAATAAAAGAAATAGTTTTATTTGAACTAATAACCGCTATGTGAGTAACTGTAGCCGCAAATTTTAGTTTTCAATTTTTGTCTACATATTTATTCGGGAAAACGTGCAACTCAGTCAAAACCTATAGCAAGAAAGAGAGATCGGTTTCAGACGGAAGTGAAATAAATCTCTTCGTTCAATACTATCGTTAAGAATAAAAATATACAATAGTTGAAAGCATACTTTTTGGCGCTCAAAAGCTTTTTTGTGCTTTGGTTTTAATGTTTGCCTCCATACACTAAGAAGAACGCATCGGATTCTTTCATTTTTTAAACACAATCAAAACAATCTTAGTAACAAAATTTACTGCCAATAAGATAGAATTATTTCAACCTTTGGAGAGTGAGCCCTGTGATTGCTACTCGCAGAAGAAGAAAACTCATACTTAATCTCTCAACAAGCTTTTAGAATATTTATAAAGTTACCATTTCACTTATATATTGACATGGTCGTTATTATATTTTTTGTTTTTGTTTTAATATTCACACAGTATGGCGCTGCCGCTCAGCAACTGCGCTGCAAATGTAAACAAATGTTTTGCCTGTCACGTTTCGCTCGCTGCATATGAATGACGCTCGATGTCTTGATTTCCGTTGCAAGAAATATATATGTATATACCATCGGGTGTTTGTTTTATACAAAATTTGTGGTTGAAAGTAAAAATCAAATGAGCCGTCCTCCTTGTGGCACCTAATAACACCGGCTTGTTCAGTGAGTATGTCTCTGCCAGCAGCAATGCTCATTGGTCAATGAACACAGAAACGATTTTTGAAGGGTTTTCAAATAATTTATAAATTGTAGTCACGTACATGGGCATATTACAAACTAATGGAATAACAAAAAACAATGCAAGAAAATTAAAACGAAATCGTTAAACAGTTGCTGCAACATTTTAAGTTGCTTATTGGGCACGCCGTTGAGTAAGTGGATTCTCGAAAATATGTATAAGGAATTGAAATAAAAAAACATCATTTGACAATAAATCTGTGAATTTGAAGTAGAAAAGTTGACTAATTAAAAATTATTTATTATAGAGACTAGAAAATTAAAAATAAATTTAAAAAGTTAAAAATAAATTTAAGAAATAATAATTTCGGAGAAATAAAAATTAAAAAGTTTAATAAAATAAAATAAAAAAAAACAAAAAAATTTTCATTTTAGCTGAAAGGATCACTATTGGCAAGGGCTATAGCTTTTGTCTGTTAGCCACTTTTGTACACAGTTCTATGTTCAAGTAAAACTTTTTGCACTTCAAAAACTGCTCTTCATAACGCAGTTTTCGGTCTAAGAGTACCCGACGCAGTTACTCTTCAAGCAATGGATTCCACTGGCCAAGCTCGCATGCTTTTCCTTAATATAAATTTGTATGAGTGGATCAGCGTGCTCTGCGACTCTCTCTACAACAAGAGCATACAATATTTTTTCTCTATGAGCTTTAAACATGTGTATGTATGTTTGTATGCAAAAAATAATGGCCAAACACTTGGTATCATCAAGCAACTTAAGAAGCGATTGCGATTGCGATTGCGCTTCTCAGATGTTCTACGATTGCTGATTATGCTGCCAATTATTGTTGTTTCTACACTCATTTGGAATATGGTTGTTGTTGTTGTTGTTTTGTTTATTCTTTTGACTACCGTTTTTACTACATTTGCACAGATTATTCTTTGTGCACATTTTTTTTTTGTTTTTTTTTTTTTTGACTTTAGTTTATATTCTTCAATTATTCATATTTTTCCCTTTCGCAGTTTAGCCCGACGTTTTCTACCACGATAGCCAACCACAGTCACACACTCCGTCAATGACTGCTCGCTTCGTTGAAGCTTGGAGCGCTCAGTTTCGTCCCACCGGCTATGCATGCCTGCGCCCATGTGTGTGTGTGTGTGTGTTTGCTTCTTCGCATTTGTGGCTAATTAGCCAAAGAAGTTGCTACAACTCGTAGTTTGGTATTGATTTTCAGTTGGTGAGGAACAGCTTCAGTGTCAAGGTCTTTCAAGTTCTCGAAACGGATGGCGGTTTTAGTTCACAGAGAAACTCAAAAATACAATAAAATATAATAGAAAAAATAAATAAAGTTCTGCTGTTGTATGCTTAAATGTGTGTGAAGTGCTTGAAAAAATAGGAAAAAGAATGGGAAAAAGTTGCTAATGTCGAAGAAGGGGAAAAAATGAGTAGCGTGTTAAAGGTAAAAAATAAAATGAAATTTTGATGAAATAAATACACAAAAGATGTGCAAAATTGCATAATCACCTTATCACCTCCTTTGGTTTCCTAAAAAACCATAAAAAATTCGATTTAGTATCCAAATAGAAAAAAAAAAAAAATAGAATTTCCCTTGGTAATTATGTAAATCTGCTCAGTTCAATTTCTTAAGAACAAAAAACGGAAATTTACTTCAAGACTACAGTTGTTAGACTTCAATAGTCACAGTTTTTAAACAAAAAAGTCCCCATTCAAAATCAAAACAAACAAAGAAATCTCCAACACTAAAATTATCAATTCAAACAAATCAACTGAAATCGAATATCGCATAAGAAGTAGTGGAACCAAAACCCAACAGGTCAATGTGCACAAATCAATTTTATTGCAAGAAAGAAAACAAAAAGAAGACAACATTAAACAATGAAGTTTCGTACAAGCTGTGTAAATAAAACAAGCACAAAACAAAAAGAGAAGAAGCAAAGCTGTAAACAAGAATGCAGCACGCTTAATAGGAAGAACACGTAAAAGAGCAAGGAAGAAGAAGGCAAAACGACAGGAAAGAAATTATGGATTTCGCGGAGAGGAAAAGAGAATAGTTACAGTGCGTATCCAATTACAAAAGTGGCAATAAATAATCTCCACCCAACATATTTGCTTGTGTGTGAAGCTATGCACAAACAAATTCAACACCAACTACAAAAAAAAACTAAAATAAATTAAATTAAACAAACATAACTAACTTAAACATTAACTAACTTAAACATAACTAAATAAAGTACAAAAAAAAATAAAAAAATAAAATTAATTAAATTTAAAAGAAGAAACAAAAAAAGTAATATAAAATAAAAAAAAAATTATTTCAAAAAAAACTAATCTAAATAAAAAGGAAAATAAAGCATTAAAATTGTACTAAAAAAATTAATATGAAAGAAAATACTAGTTAAACTCGCTTATGTAGCTTACGTACTCTGAATAACCGTTAACCGACAGCAGCTTAATATTTTTCGTAAGCAATCAGCTGAGCAAATGAGGAAATATTCAAAATTTCATCGAGATATTTTTTTATCTTTTTCAAATGTTGTTCGGTTGTAGATGTCATCAGAGCACCGTTATGCACATGTTCCTCCCTTTCACCGTCTGCGTCTCAAAGACTCAAAGCTACACTTCAAAAGCAATGCGAACACAAGTGCGTCGACGCAGATAATTCGCCAGCAGTTGCTCATTCCCTACAATCGGTATACACACTTTCTCGTCAAACGAGCTGCTTTTTCTTATCTCCATTTTCTTTCACTCTTTTGTGGTGCTGCATTCGCCTATTTATACTTTGGTATAGCAAAAATGGCCCATCTCTTACGATCCACACTGTGACTCTGGCTCCGCACTCATTTATTTACACAGCTTTCAGCTGTTTTATTCTTCTTTGCCGTATTCACATGCGTATGTGTGCGTTGTTTGTTATTTATTGTTGTTGTTGTTGTTGTAACTTTGGTCATGGCCATGGCCGTGTCCGTACAAAAGAACTTGTCCAGCGCCAGCTTCTACAAGCTGCCGACGTCAGCTTAGACGCTCACTTTGGCGCTCAGCAATCAACAAGTGTTTGGCGCTTTCTTATAACGGCGACACAGTGCTGTTGCGACTACACATACGTGTACACTCACACTTGCGCTACGCCAGCCAGCCAGCGTCACGGCGTTTGGTCATTACCACTGTCTTTCACTTGGCATTTAGTGCTGGACAGATCTTCGCTTCAACTTCAGTTGCTGTTTTGCATTCGGTTTTGACTGTCGTGTTTGCTACCGCCGTGGAGCTGTCTCCGATCCGTTATCACTGCTGCTCCACTCAACGAGTGTACATATGAAAGTTGCTGCTACACGCAACGCAGTTGGCTCATTGAGACAGTCATTCAGTTGCTCGCGTGACTTTTACCCGAACTGTTGTTTGGTGTCTTTGTGTACGGTTAGAAAGTGATTATTGAATGATCACCTTTTTAAGTTTTTAATTGAGTGAAATTAATTGCTTGTGGATTATAAGAAGTTGTGATTCTTTTGAAATGAAAATTAAATAATTAAAAATTTACGAACACAAGAAACTGAGCGAAAAAAAAGACTTGGTTGATATTGAAGGATATTAAAGCAGGATAAAGGATATTTCTTCAAAATAAATAACTATTTTGTATTTATTCCCCAAAAAATTGTGTTATGGTACAATATTCTGCCCATTCTGTTGAAACTTTATGAATTTACTCTTTTCCTGTTTCAAGTTTATGTCTTTACTCTTTCGTTTTCCAGTGTTGATTGTGAGAGTTATGGGCTATAAAAATATTTTTTATACGATTTGTGTTAAGAATTTGTAGCATCGGTTGTTATATTTAATTTTCACCCAGAAGAAATTAAATTATTTAATAATCGATGCAATGTTAAAAAGGCCTTAATTATAAAAATTTCACTTACCTCGAGTTTTGAAAAAAATTAAATTTTGATGTATATAAATATTTTAATATTTTTACCCTTAGAGGAAAACCAACCTTCCAAAGCTTTGAAATTTTTTCTCACTTTCTAATAAAATAAAAATTAAAATGGAAAGCAAATCTCGTGAGAAATATAGGTTTAGGGCAATCAAAGAAAGTTCATAATGAAGTTATAATTCCACGTAAGGATTCAGTGCTTAAGTTTTTTGCCGTAATTAAATAATTAATTAAAACTTAATGCCAATGAATAAACAGAGAGTAGAGAAATAAAACATACACTTTCATAATGTGTCTACATGTATGTATATACCTTTATTTATATACCCTTATTTTCCAAATAATTTTTTCGTTTGATGCAAAAATATTTCTTACTTCATTTCTTTCTTTTCTCTTTTGCGGAGAATTATTATGGGTGTAACAGAAATGTCAATAAATTAAAAAATTTAGAACGAAATCCCAAATTATATAAAAACACACTTAATTCGTGTATCTATAAATATTAAAAGCGAATTCTCCAACTCGCTCCACAAACCACTGTAACAAACTGAGTCTCATTCGACAACAAATGTTAAATACCAAAAGAACTAACGGAAACAGCACAAAATGCTGTAATGTATCACTGAATAACCATAAAAAAGCAACAAAGCAAAGTATGAAATTTCATGCCCTATAAAGCCAACAACAACAACTCACACAAACTTATTGTGGCGAAGAAAGTCAACCAGCCATCAAACCAACTAGGAAAATTTACTAATTGTTTAAGTGTGAGTGGCGAAAAACATGAAAAATACATAAGAACAGTAATGGGCACTAAGAACATTATAAAAACAATAAACGCAGAATTGTTAAACAAGAACAAGCACAATATTCCTCAACTGTTCCTCAGTGCAGAGAAAACCAGTGGGTAACTGGAAGGAACTAAGAAATGTAAAAAATGTTTGAAACTTTGCAAAACACAAAAAAATTACAGTAAACAGAAAGAAATGATTTAAAAAAAAGTTTTGAAATAAAAGAGTGAAAAGTTGGCAATTCGAAAACAACAAAGAGAAAACTTAAAAAACTCATTAAAAATTATAAAAGAAAATATTTTTATCTGCTCCCAAGAGGCGATTAATCGTGCGCATGTACACAGGTGACTACATACCTACATACGAGTACATGCACACTCGCTTCGGGCAGTAATATATATTCTAAAATACATTTATGTGTTTTTCTGGGTTTGCGTGGATAAATTAGAAAATAAAATCAAGCACCAAGTGTGTGTACGCATGCGCCTGTGAGTGTTTTGACAGTGAAAATTCATTAAACTCATTAGACAAATGTATGCAGTGCGAAAAGACTACAAAGAAATCCAAAAGAGACATAAATGAACAATGTGAGAAGCAATGCAATAAAACCTAAAATAACTTTAAAATTTACAATGAACAATTAACTCTTAAAGCATTGACCCGACGTTGCCAAACGGAAGTGCGAAGCATTACTACTAATAATTGTTTATGTTAGAGAAAATTAAATGAACAAAATGCCAACAAAAACATAACTAAGGGAAAAATTTATTTTGTTTAATTCTTTAATATTATTCCTCGGTTACTACACAGTTTTAGCTTCCAGCTGACGATTTAAGTTGTCTGACAGAGTAGTACTGCCAAAATAGTTAGGGAATGGTATCCTTTAATCCGCAATTAGCAGGAGGTTTAAAGCATCTCCTCTTCTCTTCATCTCTTACATTTCACGATCTTTCTCCCTTGCCCATTTATAATATAGGTGTAGCAAACTAAGTCAGTTGGAAATTACTGGAATCCTTAAAAAGCAAATCCAAATTTTTCTACAATTTTCCAGCATCCATAACGAACTTTTTCTGAGGCGACAGAATTTGACCAATTAAATTTTTTTTCGCGACGAAAAGTGCGATAAATTAAAAAACCAATACAGTTATAAAATGTGTCTGCGGTTTTAGACAAAAGCAAAAATACTAAAAACTACAATCCGAGGGAAAAGTGAAATAAAATCTTCAAAAGTTTATTGCTATCCAGCTAAGCAATACATTCATCCGCAATTTTCAATCGACTTTGCAACACCTGTGCATACTCTATATTTTACCCCTTTCCCTACTTCTACACCAACAACAACAACACCGCGATTCAGTTCTTGCAATAAGCAACAAAAGAGAGATGACTTTGGACGACTACAAGTGTACGTGTAAGCTGGCATACAAGAGTTTCGCTGTATAATTGCAGCAACAATAAGAGAAAATTAACAACACAAACAACAACATTAGCCAACAAGCAGTTCAGTTATGATAGCTTAGCCCATCAACTGGCGACCAACTAACTGCATTTGAGGCCACGGCAATATTTTACGCCACACAACAGGCCAACTAACCGCCACCACCAACAACGGCAACAACAGCAACAACATCTGCAAGATTAACCAACTAAAAGAATAGCCAAAGGCAAGATTTGAAAATACAAACAAACGAACAAACAAACAGAGAGTTGGTTGGGCGGCGAAAACGTTAAGCAAAGTGGCGCGCATGCGATGTAAATTGTATATTTAAATTGCCAGTGCAACAACAATAATAAAAATAGCAACAACAACATCAACAACAAATGCACACATACATTTGATACTTCGTATTTATGCGAGAAGTTGCTTTGAAGGCACATATAATCGGACGCCTCAGCACGAGTACGGCCACATCAGCTGCATTGGCTGACAGCAACAAACAACAACAACAAACAACAACAAACAACAACAACAACAACAACAACAAGAAAGTATTAAACCTATAGCAAGTGGCAACAGTGTAGTCATTCCCCAGCATCCCGAGTGCTTTGCTGCTGCTGCTGCTGCTGCTGCTACGCCACACCGCCAAATTGCCACCTTTTTAATTTCTGCTTCCTTTTCTTCATTTTCTTGAGCGACCTGCATGGTGAGTAGTCTTCAAAGATCGTAAATTCTATATATTTATAAGTATATGTGTACTTCTTTGGCTTGGCATTTACTACCATCGTCAGCGCCATTTTCTTTTCGACACTCTTTTTTTGCCTTGACTTTGGCCTAAAGTGCAATGCAACGCATATTCATACACATATATAAATGCAAACACATTTACATGCATGGGAGCGCGCGTACACACATGCAACGCATACATTTGTGGCCTAGCAAATTCAAAAGGCAACAAAAAGAGGGACAAAAAATGCGACTGAAATGAAACGCAGGAAACTGCAGAATATTACCATTATAAATGGCATGCCATTTGCATAGCTGCACTGCAGAGCGGTTGTTGCCGCCGGTTTCTGACTCCATGCTTCTTCTGTTACTACTATTTTTAACTGTTGTTCTCTTTTAGTGGTTGCCTTTACGGCAACGAGCGAGCTTAGTGTTCCAATGGCAAGCACTCGGTTGTTTTGTTGGAAAGTTTTAAGCCAACAGCAGGTTTTTGCATTTCTTTGCTTTCACAGAAGTTGTTAAGTGAATTCAAAAGTATTCTAATAATAAATCAGTACAACTCGCCGGAATAGCCATGCTCGATCTCACCGTAAGACTGAATAGGGTCCCGAATTTAAAAGGCAAAATTACTTCACACTTAAAAATTATAATTTTAAAAATGTGTAATCAGCAATGATAATTGTATATACGAGTCTTTTTGAACCTTAGCATTACATTTAAAACACTATATCAATCGATTTGTTCCAAGTTAAAAGCTAATCCGCATAAGCACGGTCCTTAGCGTAGCCCCGAAAACAAATCCAACGGTGTCAAATTGTAATCGCCACTCACTCGTGTGTGACATGTGGCACCATACTGTTATCGCTTTCTTCAATTGCGCATAGTGCGCAGAATCGACAGTGACAGTCTCGCTGTTGTCGCTTTCAAGGCAGTCAAGTCCAATCACACCTCCTGACCGAAAATCGCATAAGACAGTAAGTGCTTTCCGTATAGAGGTCTCTTCTCAATTGTTCAAAGATTCCCGGAGCCCCAGGTGCGACAATAATCTGCTAAGTCGCTAAGGAAAGTTTGGTTCGGATAACCGTCGTTCACTGTTTGTTGTTCAAGCCTCCCATGCACAGCGTTGTGAATGGTCAGCTGGCTTCAGTTGTTGTTTGAACTGGACTTTATACGAATGTAGGTGTAAAGCCAAATGTAACCGATCCATTTGGTTCGAATTTCCATAAAATTTTCTTGATGATGATTGAAATGGATAACCCTAAATATTAATTTAAAACCTATTTTACTTTACATCACAGTCAATCGGAAACTGGAGTGTCAATGTTGAGAGCTCCGAATTCTAAAGCACAAAAAAGAAAATCATACAAACTGCCTGAGCTCTGTGCAATTTATTTGCATTACAATACTGAGCACTTGACACTTTTCGCATTCACCGCAAATTATTTCACTTTCATCAAGACTCTTACTTTTTAAATAATTTGTTTTCCTTCTTTACATACGCTGTTGCATTGTGAAGTACAAATTAATAAACTACTTTATTTGCCATTTGTTGTTGTCGAACTTTCAGCTCGTTTGAAATTGTTTTGTTGGTTTTTTTTTTTGTTCATTTGTTTATTTGTTCCCAGTAATATTTATATTTTCTACACTTTTGCTTATTTACGCACACATGTTGTTACTGTTGTTGCCGTTTTGTTACAGTTTTCACTTTCCATCATCAGCACTATCACGCACATAACCACACAAACACACACGCGTAAACATACATTAAGGCATACAAAAGACTGCTATCAGCGATGGGCACTGCTAAGAAGAAAGTGAAAAGTAAAGCAAAAAGTCACACTGCCATACAAAATCTTTGAGAAAAAAAAATGAAATGTAGAAAAGTGCAGGTCATAATGGTCGCTCTGTAAAGCTCGTATGTGAACATAAACTAACGATTTGTTGTTTAAATATACACAAATGTATATATAATATTATATACTTACACGTATATGCATAAATGTTTAGTTTACATACAAGCCTGTGTTTGGCTTTATATGTTTTTAAGTATAACAACTCGCATTATTCATTCATCAAAAATTCAACTTTCGCTTTTACTCGCTTATGAGTTGTTCTTGTTTATTGAAATTTCATTGGACACCGCTGAAGGAAAGTGCACGATAAAAGCAAAAAAGAAAAGTGTAAAAATATTATTTTAAAAAATGGCAAAATGAGGCGGAAGAATAAGACAATAGAAAACTTGTATTGTAGGGATTTCTTTTTGTTAAAAACTTTTAACGTAAAATTGTGAAAATGCGATGATAATTTTTTTGTTATTTTTTGACTATCCACTTTGTTGTAGCATTTAGTGCATTGAAATATATTCCAGATGTTTATCAGAACAAAAATCGCCATATTTACATCCACTCCATTCAGTGTTCCCCATATTCTGATTCCTACTACCTTTGCTGTGCTCTATTAGCCTGGCAGCTTCGAGCAGAGTTAACCACAGGCAACGACGCACCTTGTTTTTCCTACGAAATCATACTTCGTAATGGTCGCCCCGCGAAAAATTTTTGAACATTTGCCGAAAGAGTTTTCGCACAGACAAAGAACTTCCATGGGAGTTATGGCACTACGAAACAATTGTATTTTATTTAAAAAAAAAGAGCTCAAGGTCGATGAGGTTGATATGGTCTTTTGAAAGTATTGTTTTTTGTATCTGGAACTTTTTCCGCACAATTACTCATTCACTTAAGACTTCGTCATCCTTTAAGGCTCTCTGTGATCACTGACCCAAAAGAGGGATTTGGCCGTGTGTATGATTTTATGATTTTCTTTGTATTAAATAAAGCTGAAAATTTCCACCTGAATATTCGGTTTAACAAAAATTTCAAAAACCGAGTTCTCGGAACTGAAAAGAATTTCGAGTTTTTTAGTATAAGAGTTTGGGCGCCTGCACTTTATTGCCACTGAAATAAATAAAATTAATAATTTTTCTCATCATTTTTTTTATAATTAATAAAAAAAAATATTTTATGAAGCTATCGTACGAAAAAATATTCAATCTTTCTTTTAATTTTAACAAAATTTCACTTTCCTTTTCCACTTTACGGCACAAACTTTGCACGTACTGAGTTTTTAATCTCCTTTATTGTCTTCCTAATGACACCGTTACTCCCCCACACAATTGAGAAAACTGCTTCCAATTTAATTTAGTAATAATGATGCGTGAAATTTTCAAGACGATACACCTACCTGAATAAGACTATGCTCTCGCCTGCTGACGCTTGAGTAGATGACAACTTAACTGCAGCAGCAGCAGCGGCAGCGCCAGCAGGGTAAGAGGCAGCAGCCAACATGGCGTATGTGTAACACATGACGATCAGCAAAGCGACGTCAGGCAGAACAGACGAAATTCCATTAAGTGTTTACTTATGCAAATGCATGTGTGTGTGTGTGTGTGTATGTACGGTTTTGTTGCTGAGTGACCTAAATAACGGTGTATTCGTTTTATTCCATTTTTACCTCGATGAAATACTAACTAAATGGTTATACACGAATACATAGGCAAGTACTAGATGTGTAGATGAGCTCCAGTATTTATTTGTTTACTCTCACACATATATATGTACGTGTGTGTATATATATCATTAAATGCTGATTGGCGGTTAGTTATAATATATCTACTTACATTGCTATTACTGCAGCACGCACCCTCAAGCATGCTAATTTTTCCAAATAAATTAAAATATTTAGATAAATAAGTCGCTCTATCGCAATGGCTGCCAAGTAGCGTACAAATAAAGGAAAAACAAAATAAAAGAAAAATAAATAGAAATTCAACATTCCCCACGAAGTGTGCCGCGGCTGGCTGGCTGTCAGAGAATGTGTGTTAATTTGCAAATATCAGTTGTGGCTTGTGCTAATTCCTGCTCCACAGCAGTCTCAAAGACACACTTACACATGCTTATCTATATATGTGTGTGCAGAACTGCAAACACAAATTCTCCGATTTCTACGATTTCTTTCATTTTCCATGTCGTGTTCCAGAACGTGACCTAAATGCCAAAATGTGCATACACTTGTCTATACCGATGCATACATACATACATACATACATACATACAAACATACATACGTATATCTATTTGCATGAAACTACTATTAACTAGTATTTCTATAGAGAAAAAAAAGTAAACACAAATTGGCACAGAAATTCAATTGAGATGAAAGTGCCTTGACTGATTTGGCGATTTTAGCGATTAAGAGATCAAACCAAAAGACTTAAGCGGCAAACTTGATTTAGTGCCTCGCTTTAATTTGCTTAGCTTTACGAAGCTTCTTATACAGCGTTTGCGCGCTTTTAAATCTTTTATACCCAAATACGTGTGTGCTTATACAGAATATATGTATATTTATATATGATACATACATTACATACATACTCGTATGTGCGTGCATGCTTGTGTATGGGCAGCAGCGCCACTTAATTTTTAGTGTTTTAGCCTCAATTCACCGTTTCTGGTAATTACTTTCTCCGTTCGCTGCTGTTTCTTCTCCATAAATTGTATTGATGTGAATTCTTTCTTTTCTTGTTTTTGCTTTTATTTGTGATTTCCGTGTACCTTTTTCGCACAGATCTTTACTTTCACTGGGATGTTGGCAAATATTTTTATTCGCTTGTGCTTAATGATGACTCGGAGAGAAATAAGAATCAATATTTATACAAATTCAATGTCATACTCATTTACTTTTGAATAATAAATGTGGAACACAATGCAGACTGAAATTGGGTATAATTTGAAAATTTTCGTTCAATATATAAAACATTTATTTAAGGTATTGGAGAGCAGCGTACGAGTATGTTTTTAAAACTGATTTTTTTCATTTCTCAACAATAAAATTTGCTACCTTTTAAACCGAAAATCTTTTTCATTTATGCAATTTTTGTCCTCACAATATTCAAAGCAAAAGATTTGAATTTGGTGGAATTCTATA